GTGCTATCAGTGCCCAGGACTTGGCTACCTGGGAGGCCCACATTACGGGTATACCCCTTAACGTGGGCGTGTATTGCACGACACATGACTGCACCATCACACATTGGGCGCTACCCTGCTGCGCAACTCATTTTATAGGCACTATGTCGAATATGGTATGCTTGGCATCACGAAGGGAAACCTGTGAGGCTGAGAGATTATGTGATTGCCACAAAAACGACATAAGCTATGGCTGTGCCCCAAACGCCGCTGATCAGTGGCAAACAATTTGGTAATTATTTGAAAGTCTCCCTTAAGCGTTCAATCTTCAAGGAAGGTTTTGTACTGTCTCAATTGAGAGCCTTCAGGGCTGGCCCATCGATTGGAGCAGCTTTTAGAATCCTATTTTGCAGTCCTCCACAATCAGTCAAAATCTGGCCATTCTTCTCGTCAAAAACGTCTTGAAAGTGATGTCAGGCTATTGGGTAATGATTCTGAGTCATCCTGACGTCGGCATAAGGATTGAAGCTAACACGGGAGGGGGGGTGGGGTCTGATCTTTGCATCCATTTGGCGCTAAGCCTACCAAAATCGACATAGCGCCTTCCATTAATACCACAAAATGGCTGTTCAACATGGCACGTTCATGCAGGCACCGCCTCCGCTGACGCCAAGGAAGGCAAACAAGACTGAAGCCGATTCATGGATGTGGCTGCGAAACCACAGCATATACTGTGCATTTATGTGGCACAAGTCTGGACGAAGGTAACCGGTCAGTTTGTAGGTGCGTTTTACCAACTCGTTCCCAGCTCAGATTGGGTGGAACTAGAACAGCTGACTCCCAAGTAGAGCCATCACAACTGAGACCCTATCGTTTGCCACTGGCCTTTGCAAAGTGGAGCAAAGCCGCTGCCTTTTGGCCACGCTGTTAAGGCCATAAGGTGGCAAGACATAATCTTTCCAGCATACATATGACGAATGATAGGGTTTGAAAGGGAATATTGAAGAGTTTGTGCTGTGCACAGCAGCACCCCAATCAAGTGTCAAACAGCCCCTTCTCGCAAAATCCATGAGACATTCAGGTCACAAGCATAGGGAGCCATCGGCGCTCAAATTGCAGCCGGCATTCGCATAGCTTATAAATGCACATTTGGGCATATTATCCAGACCCTTCAACAGGCCCCAAGACGCTGCTGCACATTAATCCAACATCCAACATTCAATCCAAACATTCAATGTACTAACACACCCCCACCCCACCCCCCAAACCTCGTTCTTGATTTCAAGGGCACAGACACTACATCTTCAGCAGTTGCACCACTTACTCCTTTGGTTGTATAGAGACATGTTTTCTGCCTAAACTGCAAATGAAAAATGGCAGCGAATGGCAAAAGAACAATGGCAAAAGCAATATCCTACTGACAGCAGCAGTAGTGTTATCTGCCACTTTTTCCAAAAGTGCAGCCCTGCTGCATCAACATTATGTCAACTCCACACCCATCTTTCCCAGGCAGGTGCTGTGGTGGCAGACAGCTCTTTGAAACCGCTCTTTGAATGGTGCTTGGGAAGATGTGGGCACTTTGGCACACAGGCGGTGTTTAACATTTGACATCAAGGGAGTCTTGTGCTCTTGTGGCATTTGGTTCACCATTTGGGACACATTTCCTGCACGATAAAGCATCACCATATCCATGGAATTGATTTACGACAATACAGCTGCTGGTGTGTGTGGTGCCAGCGTGCGCCAACCAGACAGCTGAGTCGTCAATACGTGGGCCATGTCTGCATTCATTGTGCGATTGAATGGGGAGGGCCACCAGCCAACACACAAAGTACTAACTGAGACAAACTGACCAGCAAATTCTTGAAGAGAATAATCAAGGCTTTGTCTGGCTTGGGGATAGCAATCCAGAAAGCTTCAGAGAAGTCCAGGATACAAGGCAAAATCTGCAACAGTCAGCACCTTTCCAAGGCCCAGAGACATATCGCGATTCACAACAGAAATCAAGGCTTTTGCATGCTACAGCTGCTGGTCGTTCATTTGGCCTTGACAGCTGTCTCGCTTGAGTTCAGCATCACCTCACACATTGCAATGCTCGTGTGTGTTCTATCCACTCACAGCACCATGCATGCAAAGCCTTTAGTGACCACCAAAACTGCCAGCCCTTTTCCCCCCCAACAAACAACACGGCCACCTCACCACTACTGTCTTTCAAGTGCCGACACTGCCTCTCCCCTTTGCAATTGCAGATGTGACTGCACAGCCTGGCCATTGTCATCCCAAACGCCCTCAGCCAGTGCGGGGAGCCATAATCACTTGCCACTCCAGGGCATTCCACCTTCAAAACCAGTGGCTGAGGCTGATGCGTACCTTGTGGGGCCAGTGTGGCTCAGCCGCGTTGCATCCATTTGATGTGCTGGAGGCGGGGGCTCAAGTTACGCTCACTTGGCCATCGGGTGAGTGCAGATGTAGTTAATGGCTTCCTCTGCAGTGGAGATCTTGTCAGCCTCATTGTCAGGGATCTCAATGCAGAACTCCTCCTCAAAGGCCATCACCACCTCTACCTGATCCAGACTGTCCAGGCCCAAGTCCTTCTGGAAGCTGGACGTTGGGCCCACCTTTCGCAGTCCATGCGTTAATTCTCAGTTATCCAATTTGTGTTAAAAGACTCTGTCACTGTGCAGTCATGCATTTGGCGATGTCAAGCCGACAAGCCCATCCCCAGATTCGGAATTTGTCGAGCCTGAAACGGGGCCCAAGGACTGGCGCAAAAGGAGAAGGAACAATGCATTGCATTGGACACCACGCCGTTCTGAGCAAAGAAGACTGATTTCCACGATTTGTGGTACTTTAGTGTCATCAATTGCTGTGGAAAGATCGCACCAGCAACGTGAACGGGGACTGAAGGGAGGCGAAGCACGGATCCGAAACTGCGTCGCTGAGCTCCTGACCCCACGGACGCCGTGCGGCCCGCTCCTGGCGCCCGTCAAGTCGCAGAGCGAGCACTGTCCATCAATCAGCATCCCAGGAATAGCAAAATGTGCAAGTCCTTCTTGGCAGAAGCCCCTGGAGAGTCCGATCCCCTCGTTTCTCACCATCCTCCCCAGCACAGACAGCCAACTCTTCGCGTGGCACACCCTCAACCGACACCGCCCCAACCAACCCCATCAGTCGCCTGCCCGCACCATTGACGATCCAACGCGCCCACCCGATACGCACGCCGCGGTTAGATCCCCCAAGCACCTTCCCCCTCGCACTGCTCCCCCCCCCTGCCTCCTGTCCATCCCGATCGCCCCTTCCCAGGTCCCCCCACCTTGGATTGATCCACCTTCTCGTGGTTCTTGATGACGGCGATCACGCGGTCGGTGACCTCCCCCTTGTCCAGGAACGCGCCATCCGTCATGCCCCTCGCGCCCCAGCCCACCCCCAGCGCCCCCACCCACCCGGCGCCCGCGGCGCATCCCGGCGACAGCCGGATGCGATTCAGGACGCCGGCCCGGACAACTGATAGGCACCAGGGCAGCGGCATCGTGAGAGGGATGGCGATGCAGGTGCTTTGGGCGTTCCCAGATCGAATGGAGGGGCCGGAGGGGGGGCGAGGAGGAGGGCGCGGGGCCCTGGGCTTCGAATGGTGGGCGTCGGTGGAAGTCGGAGAGTCGCGAGGCCAGTGGGCCGGGGCGTGTTGGCGCCGTCCGCTCGCTGGGAACCAAACCCCCAACGGCAAGGCCACGCAAAGCTGTCACGATAATGTACCCTGGGCCTTTTTTTCTCTCCGCATTCGGTGGTTCTGGACCCACCCATCCTCATTGGAAAAAAAAACGGTTTGGGAAAAATCAATTAGGGTTCCTGGGGCCCGGTCGCCTTGGCTTCGGCTGGGGCGTGTGTTTTGGGGGAGGTTCCTGGCCGACGGACCTGCACCGTCTCTGTCCCAGCGGCCCAAGCAAGTTCTCTTGTCTTCTCCACCAAGCAAAGGTGACCACCCCCCACTGATTTACCCAAGCAGACGCACTGCATCCTTCGGTGGGGTATGGTGTTGGGTGGGGGTGGTGCTTAATGGCTTGGACTACCCTCTTCCTTGCCCCTGGCCAGGCGGTTTGGTAGAGCAGTGGGAAATCCCATCAGAGGCACCCGGCTCGATCCCCAGCCAGACGTCCTCTTACCATCCGCACAAAGACAGAAGGCCCGCGCCTATTGCGTCATCCGTGACCTCTTCGAACGCGCTCGCCAGTTGCTCGTTTCGGTACCTGGCCGGTTGAGCGCGGCGGTGTTCCAACTCCCAGACTCCATGGACACCGGCCTCCCTCCCTTTGTCAAGTTTCCGCGTTGTTGTTCGTCACGTGATTGTGGCCCTGCTGCTCTTGGCCGCCCCTTTGTGGGAGTCAAGACGGCTCGCAGGTGCACCTCCAATGCATACGAGGTCTTTGACGCTCTGTTTCTGAACAAACGTACCTGGCTTGTTTTGGAGGAGCAAGGTGGGATGTGTCTGAATGCCAATGTCTGCCCGCTGCGACTGCGTCTGGTACTGATGATGCCTTCAAAACGTGAGAATGTCACACACTCATTGTGCACACATTCTGAGCAAGAATCTTGATATTACCTTGTTTTGTGGCGGTGTCTCAGGCGCACGAATGCAATTCCCGGTGGTCTGCCGCTGGGATGGCATCCCTGAGGGCTTTGTCACCACCCTGGTGTCCCGCCTGGGCGCCTCTGGGGACCGCGCCTCCCTGGCAGCCCTGAGATCCACCTGCCGAGAGTGCAGACGGCAGGTGGACACCAGCGTTCGCCACCTGAGGGTGAACTACCTTATGAGTTGGACCTTGGGAGCCATCCAAGGCATCCGGCGATTTCCCGGCCTCACCCACCTGGACCTCACAAAGGTCTCTCCGCACTGGCCACTCTCTGGCCTGCAAGCAATCACGCAGCTGCGATCGCTGAAACTGAATGGCAGGGCACGAAGCCTGGTGATGGCCAACATGGAGGACGATGCAGAACTGATCGCTTGCCTTTGTCAACTGAGGCAGCTGGAGAGTGTGGATGGTCTGGTTCTGAGGTCTGGGGGCCTGCTGGCCCTCGATGCGATGGCGAATCTGAAGTGCCTGAAGATGCATGCGTACTCGAATCGGTACTATGCCTCCGCAGGGGGCAGCCTATCCCTTGGGGCTCTGTCGGCCCTGCGGGTGCTGGACAGCCTCTCACTTGTGGAGTGCGAGCTTGGAGGGGAGCTGACCACACTGAGGCGCCATCCCTCCCTGACTGCCCTGACCATTGAAGGCTGCAGGGACCTCCAGTTCGACTCTATCGCCACCCTGACACGGCTGCAGAGCCTCCACCTCATCGACCTTCACATATTCGATGACATCCCCATCGCCAGCCTGCAGTTCCTTTCACACCTCATAAGTCTCACAAGGCTACATGTTTGCGACCCTGGCACGTTTTCAGATCCAAAGACATTTGGCCCCCTGTTGCCCACAGGCCTCAGGCAGTTAGATCTGCATGTGCAAGGTGAATGTGGGCAGGCAGGAGAAATGGTGGTGGGTACCAGCCTGCCCTTTCAGAGCCTTGCTCACCTTTCGAATCTGACATTTCTGGATGCCCCAACGATGGCACCGTTTGTACAAATTGGAGACCTTTCGTTGGGATGCTACCCAGGGCTCACCAAGCTTGGGGTGTCATGCATGGGCCTGTCAGGACTACAGTTGCGATCCCTCTCCAGTCTCGCAGCGCTGCAGGCCCTCAGCCTGCATGAGATGGCAGAAGTTCGACCTACAGATGTGATCGCCCTGGCTGATGCCTTACCACAGCTCGCCCGGCTTTTGCTCCTCGACTTCCGCAGCATGACGAGCCAGTGCCTATCCTGGCTGCAAGACATCCCATCTCTGACCACAATCACTTGCTGCAACTCTGTCAGCGAGGCAATGTATCTGTTGGTGAACGGCCCTTTGGAAGAGGGATTCAGCCCTGTCAAGGACTCGTGTGCCAGCTTTCATCCCCTGGGTAGCCGTGTTGGGGGCCAGCCCTACTGGCGGCCCTGGGTTCCTCTGCCCATCTGTAAGGCATGTGGCAGCGGTCTCACCCTGGTGCTGCAGATCAACTACGGGACGTCCCCACTTGCAGCCAGGCTTGGAGATCTGCTGCTGCAGCTGTTCTGGTGTTCAGAGTGCCAAAGCACTCTGGGCACTGTTTCTGCTGTCCTCTACCGATTGGGAGTTTCCGACAGGGTCGCTGTTGAGGATTGGGACAGGTGTCTGCCATTGGGGATGGCAATACGTGGCTGGCAGCCAGTTGTCGAAGTGGATACTGCAGTTCCCTCCCGTGCATTTCCCCCCAGGCGATGCTGGAGGAGCCACGGCCTTGTAGAGGCTCTGGAGTGCGAAGATGCATCACAGCAATTGAGCCTCAGTCATGGCTGGCCCCCCGTGTTGTCTCATTTGAAGAGCGCATTGGCCAGCCAGGAATGGGCCGTCAGGGCATCCAACTTGATCCGTATCTGGAGTAGGTACCCCTTACACACGCATACAGGGGAAGATGGTAGGCACTCAAACACGAGGCAGAGTGTAGATACGGGAACTAGACAAGGTGGTGGTGTGCGGATAGGGTGCTGCAGGGACCGAAATCTGGGAAGCTGGCAAGCTGCGGAATCGGATGTACTGGGCTCTGTTTGCCCTAAATGCCGTACACCCATGCACTACAAGCTGTTTTCTTTGTCCTTTCCAGATCCCAAGGCCCCTCTCATTGATGGTGCCATTCAACCGCTCATGCAAACCTTCTGCAGGTTTCACTTAGGGAGCACTGCCGCATTCGACTTGTACACTTGTCCCTACCACGTGGAGCATGGGATCTTTCAGTACAATAGCAAACCGTCGATTGACTTGGCTGGGGATCGCCTGCCTTTAAGATGGTTGGAATGACACGTGAGGGGCTGCGATGGCAAAATTTCCTCCTACTTCACCTCGAAGGCGCTTCCTTAATTCCCTCTGAAGTTCTCTGGCTTAGGGCTTCTGTAGACTGTGTGAACCGACACACGTGGATGCAACTGTGCTTTGCAGAGCTTCGGAAGATACCCAGGAGTGCTGGGTAATGTAAACAAATGAGGGCCAAAGATTGGCAACGTTCAGGCATAAAGGCAAGGAAATGGCGAATTTGACCACGCTTAGTGGCGATAGCATGGTGCATTGTAACACGCGACTTCAAGTCGACGCTAAGGGGGGGAGGCCCATGGATTCTGTGACTACAATTGTCAGAATGCCTGTCGCAATCTGGGCCCCTGCACCTTGCTGGCAATGACGGGCACAGGAATGCCTGTGAATGTCCGTACGAGATGTCGAGAGCACCAATAACTCCAGATCGGCCAACAGCCATGAAGCAAAGAGATTAAATCGGTGGCCCAATCGATGCATTTGATACAAGCCAAGATGAAGCCCAAGCATCACTGCTTTTCGTCCAAAAGAGCTCGCTCGAACGTTCGATTTGTAGCGGGCAACCACAGAGTACAGAAGCTGTATTCTGGCATCTCTACACGTACAATCCGGTGGCTGGACCACGTGCTCAATTCCTGGTATGGATTGGTGTCGAGTCGACACTGTCGACCGTTGACCGGGATCTCTCTTAGACCACCTGTGCAGCAATGAGATGCATGAACACGGCTTCGATCTATCCTCATCGAAATGGAAGTGCACAAACCACATACCCATGCCCGTGTGCACGGCGGGTTCGACCGTGATCGTTGATACCCCGCTGAAGACGGCCAGATCGCACAATCGAAGTTTCTGCATCGGAACATCAAACATTGCGTTACCGCCATGCCTTCAGAATCGGCCGCAACGGGGGAAGGCCGAGGTTTAAGCAAGCTGGGAGGGCAACTTTGTCATGGACGTCCCCAGGATTTGCTGTGTCTGGGAGTGAGCAATGCCTGCTGGAAACTCTGCAGTGCTTTAGGGGGAAGCCAATTCTATCCTGGACTGATTCGACAGGAATGGGCGACACTTGATCTCACGGGGGTTGGAATGGGGTTAAGAGGGGTTTGGAGGCTTCTTGTGAGGGCTGTACAGATTAGGTGACGTGGGCCGCAGTGAGAATTTTGCACAAGGGCCGGATGTGATGCCAAAGTGGAAAAGGACACTCTTGTAGCAGGTTTGTGCCCGCACTTATTTTCCTGACCAAAGCCTTGGGCTATCAAGCCGTTCCACGAACGCCTTTAGCTGCCGCGCCCCCCCCCGCCCGGACCGAGTGGCGCCGTGGTGCTCATTGAGGCCATTTTGGATATCAGCGACGATTGGTCTTTAGGCGAATCGGTTACATCAGGCAGCGCGACCAAAACAGCAGCAAGGCCGAATGGCCCTGATCAGGCACGGTGCCCCGTTGGCACCCACCCTAGTCGGGTTGCTTCTCTCATAAGTGTGTTGCGGAGACCAAGTTGCGCGGGCAACAAGATGTCTTCCTCGCGTACGCTGAGTCTCGGATCGATTGTTCCGCAATGGCAGCGTGTACATCTGTGACGTTGGCATTACACACGTGACTGCTCAGCTGGCTACATATTGTTGAACGTACCGTTAGTCACTTAGTCGTGGTACGTCAGGACATGCTTGTGACTAAACCCTGGAATGTAAAGTGGTATGTCGCACTAACCTGGCTGTGTATAATGCCCTGAAAGATTGCGACATAAAATAGTATGCAGGGGCTGGTCTTCTCCCGCCGCAGAACCATACAGCTGAGAGAGAGAAAGTTGTGAAGCATGTGCAAGGGGATGATGTGAAGATGCACAACTGATTACTGATGAAGCGATGAGGATCCTGCCTTGTTTTCTGCGTGATTAATAGGGTTACTATTTTAGCAATACTTTCTGAGGGACTCCCGTGATCTAGCGCAAGATTGGGTGAACGGTTGGCAGGTGTACTGCAGGGGGTTCAGTGCTTACGGTGACAATCTCAAGGGCGTTGTATGCACTGAATATGTACGAATTGCGGCTGCACCTGTCCGAATGGTCAAGGTTGATCGACTCTTAAGTGTACATGGTCTACAATGAAGAAGCACTGTACCCACATGAAATTTAAAGGCACTAGAGGCGATCTCCCCGAACTGCTGACACAGGCGCTCATGGAAGTTACAACAACTGCGACAAGACCTTCCAACATACTTGAGCGTCTGACATAACAATTTTCAAACTTGAAGAGTGACCTGTCAAACACCAACGAGACGGAACGATCGAGCGGACAGTTGTGGAGGCGAATTGGAAATCGACATAATGATGGTTAGAACACTGGGGTATTCCCTCAGTGACAAAGTAAACATCCAGAATATACATGAAAGGCCTTGAACAATTGCCTGCCCTCTGAAAGGGCCTTACTCAGATCCATGGTCCAAACGTCAGATGCGCTGTTACAATTATGAGATAAAGGCTTCACATATGAAGTTTTGTTCAGCAGATTTGCTGACACGAACAATGCATGGGCGGATACGACAACATGGGATGACTGGGATGTATGCAAGCCGTAAATCATAACGCTGCCCAAGAAAACAGAACTTTGATAACAGCATATTTTCAAGTAATTAAAATTAGCATGAGTTGTGACTAATGCTGATGCTGGCAATCGTCATACGGCGATAGTCAGGTCAAGAAGGGAAATGGCCCGAAGTCTATGGCAAGTCACACCTATATTTTGAGGAAACAGATGGCGAGGGTTGGCGGTTGCAAGCAGACTACGAAGTGGCCTCGAGAGTGGTTAAATTGACCAACAACTGGGTGATCGCATTCCCGTCCTTCATAGTGATTAAAATGGGAGCGATGCATTGTGAGGGGCTGTCCAGAGTAGCAAAGAAAATGTGCCAGCGACACCCCTCTCCGATGGGCGCGTCCAGGTCTATCGACTTTGATAGTCTTCAATGATGTTGTTTGATCATGCCGGGTGCCATTGCGGACAGCTGCCTGCCTTTGCTGGCAGGAATCGCCATCACTGAAGTTCCTTGATGTCTTGAAGACGGGGGAGGCTTGGCTTGTCCTGGAGCAGACAGAATGCAGGACCAGTACCTGGATTGGCCAGCCAGAATGCATAGCTATAGAGCCCCGATGGAACCTTGGGGTGCGCGTTCAAGGTTGCCGTACACCATCGTTTGTCATGGCGACCTTGAATGTCGTACGGCAACGTTGGGCGCCGAGTTGCGGAGCGCCTCAGCGCCGTACGTACGGCGGTGGCGGCATCCAGCGTTGCGCTCGAGCATGGGTGTGAGAGCGTGGCTGCCAAGACTCGGTGACGGCGATGATGTTGGCGGCGACATGGGACCATGAATAATCGATTCCGAACATATTAACTGCTTGGTTTCCACGCCCATCATCGCCTACCAGGTGCACGGGCTGCGTTTTGTCATTTTGTGACAAATGTAATCCGTGGATTTTGATGATGATGTTGGCGGAATCGCATGGGCTGCGTTGTGCTGCTTACATGGCGGCGGCCTACCTCGCCGTGAATGGGATATGCAGGCCCTGCGATGAGCGCAAGAGACGCTGGAATCCATGGCGAGCTGGAATGCTAGGCTCGGCCTGGATGTGAAGGCCTGCTCAGCGCTAGGGGGTGCGAGCGAGGCGCTGGCGCCCACGGCGGAGGGATGGGGGAGCAAGCGAGGGCAAGCTCAGGCGAATGGCGGGCGGCGGGAGGCGTGGCGCGCGCAATTGGACGGGAAGCCATGGAATCGAATCAGAAGGGCGCTGATCTGATCAGGTAAGCCGCGGGGCAGTCGTCGTCATAACGTAATGAAAGTCTGGAAGATTCTGGACATCTGGAAGGTTCGGGAGAGGTCGGGGGTGATGTGACAGCTTAGGGATTATTTGTCTGAGCGGGGAGGATGTTAACGTGTTCTGGAAGTATGTGGAATAGCTGGCTGTTCTATAATGGATAGGGGTCTGTCATCTTATAGTTCTAGTCCCCTGGCGACCTGGCACCCGTTGCACCTTGAGGTGCACGATGGCGGACGCACGTTGATGCATTGTAGGGTACGGATCCAAGTGTAAGAACATTCGGTGGCTGTCAAGCTCCAGGCGTGAGTCCAGAGCGTTGGGCCTGAATCGAATCCGCGAGTTGTGAATCGCTGTGCGAATCCGTCGTCCGAAGCGGCAAAGCACCCCTTCCCCCTGGAAAGGGATTTCGAGGGCTCAACCTGGCCGGCGAGAGGGATCGCCGTGGCGCATCGTATGCTCATAAGCGATACTGTCCAGGGTAAGTTGCATGCATGCTGAAGAGTGACAAGTAGTCTTGGACAGAAAGCGGAATCCATGACCAGGTCTGAACTGTAAGTTGCATGCTGTGAATTCGTCTCTGTGCCCCTCATAGTCACCACCAGCGAAGTTCGTGCGACTCCCGTTCGCTTTCGCCAACATAGTAGTAAGAATCGCATCATAAGAGAAAGGCAAAACTGTGATAGGGCGCTGTAACTGCTCTGGGAGCGAAAGCGGCCCTCTTAGCAGCAAACACTTCAACATATACTTGCTCTGGTGATGAGCGAGAATCAGAAAGGGGGAAGCCCAAGCTGTAGCATACAAACGCCTCCCCCAAAACGTGTACAAACCGAGTGGCCCCCTGCCCCTGTCAAGGCAAACCCAAACCTGACAGGGGGAAACGAAAAGGGGCATTCGCTGACAAGGGTGCAAGTAGTGCAGCTGCGCCGAAGCTGGAAAACAGCCACAGAAAAGTTGTTGGCTATTCCCAGTCATAGACACATAGATATTGCCACGCTGGACGTCAGAATATACTTTGACGATGTGTTAGTCTAATTGGGTAGCATACACACCACTGAGAAAAACGTGAGCAACTGGTTAGGTGTTTTTATAAACACCTATCGATTAGTACACATCTGGAAAGCCTTTGGCGGTGCATTCCTGACACTATTCTGTGTCAATTTGAGTGCATACAGCCCTATACTAGCTGCAAGGCTCGCTGGGCCGTTCAGGAGGTTGTGCAGCTTGTGTTGGCAAGTGGTGAGATCGTTGATGCGAGGCGAATCTCTTCAGCTTGCTGGCCTGGCCCGTGAGGTGGCTCGACTGAAAGGGCAACTGAGCTTTCTGTGGAATTCTGAGCGTGATTGCTGGCTCAGTCAGCAGTCCTTTTCAATTTCAGTTGATTTGCACCTTTTTTGCTGGACTATTTATGGGGTGTATAGTGTCCCTTGGCTGCTTGTGTTTGGGTGTTTGGATCGGACGCACCCTGTGAGAGAATCTCACGAATCTGACCGTGGTTCATCTGCCTAATTGGGCAGCCACACTAATGGTCATGGAACAATGTTCACAGAGGAGCGAGGGATTATCAATGATTGACAAACGTCAGACAGAAATATGTCAACGCACATTCGATTGGCATTGCCAGAGTCACCGGGATTTGCAAAAGCGATGCCGATGTCCCCTGCCGATAGTTTCTCAAGGCAAGCCAGTGCATGGGTATGGAAAACGCTGAAGCAGGGACAGCTACCGACAGTGTTAACAAACCCCGCATACTGGCCTGGTCGCAGTCAGGTGAACATCGGTAACGCGGCGTCCTTGAGGTCCAGGTTGGCAGCTGTGGTGTCAGCGACCGCAGACCATCCCCTCCACCCACCCACCCACTCAGGCACGTGAAAGCATTTAAGGAGACCGACAGCGGCAGAGTTTGCTGGCATTCCCCAGGTCGAGTCATGCAACTTGCCAGGTGTCCGGCATGCATGCTGTGAGTCAAAGGGCAAGAGATGGCGGGAGACAACGAGCTGGCCGAGGCTACAGAGGGCACGGAGGCCAATGCCAAACCGTCCGAATCGCAATTATGGGGTCGCCACGCCCGTCTCCTTCCTTTATGCCCACCTAGGCACCCTGCGTCCAAACACATTGCCCCTCTCACCAGCGCTATTCTGCTCCCAGCCCCCTTCACTTATCCACCCCCTGGCTTATCCGAAACAATTCCAAATAGATGGGAACAAGCCCCATTGAACACCCCCCCGCCCAAGCACAAGCCAGTCCCGTATGCGTCAAAGAAGGCCTCTTTGCTGTTCTGCGTTGCCTCGATTGATGGGGTTAATGGATGCAAGTCGCAGGATGTTCGTGCTCTCGCTCCAGCTGCATGGGCTCGTGGGGTGGTCATGGCTTGCCCTCATTCGCACTTAATGGCCCTGTAGTCGCAAACCACACAATAGTCCAAACACTACAGCACATAACAATTGCCAAGGCTGTCCTTCGCAGCAGAATAGACAAATTTCGCATATCATATCATCAGTGAGGCAACGTTTTAGGAGAACCCTTCTGCATACCTAAAGTGCTGTTTGCACAAACAGGTCGACAGTGCGTGCAGCTGCCGCACTGAAATTTGCATGTACACATACAAATTTTAAATGCTCTGCTGGGATCCAAGAGTTCGATACACCACACAACGACACAGCTCCCGGCATTCGCGCCCACTGCCCATGCGTCCACTGGACTCTGAAAGCCTCCACCGCCTTGCACTCAGTAAAATTTGAATTTGAACGTAGACTCGAATTCGAATGCACCGTCGCTCAGAATGAAAGAAGGGTTCTTTTTTATGATACAACGTCATTCATTCCCACCTGTATATGTGCCGAACAAACATTAGAGAAGCCCGGAAGCCCACGCTGCCCAGCATTAGGAAGAAGGCGTAGCACACCACACCCATGTAGCCGAAGAAGAAGGACGTCTGCATGAAGCCCGACATGGTGGAGCGCTGGAAGTAGAAGTAGAAGCAGTACACGAAGATGAAGGCGCCCGTGGAGCCGCCGCACAGGAAGGAGCGCCACCACCAGCGGTGGTCCTCCACGGCCAGCTGGAAGTAGGTCAGGGCGACCGTGATGAAGGCGGTGACGATCACGAGGATGACGAAGACGATGGAGAGGATGCTCCAGATGACATAGAGCTGCAAGGACGGGCGGGGGGCCAGCCAAGGCTGTGAGTCAATCCCTGGTTGTGTTTGCCAGTCGTTGACAAGCAATTGCGTTGCAGAGTAGCTGCAGGCGATACTGGTGTGATCGACCAAGAGGTCGATCGGTCGATCCATCCATCAGTCAATCAGCAAGTTAACGCATCAGACAATGCAGATTGCAGCAACGGAGATGAGATTGAAAGGGAAAGTCAGAATGCGAAGATTCTTGTGAATGGGGCATTCGCATCAGCACACTGGCTTTGACAGCAGTCCATGAAACAGGGAATATCAAGCGCAATGCAGAAAGGGCGTCCCCCAGGCCTTGGCATAGGTGCATGAGAAAAAGACTGTTCGTCACAACTAGCATGCCACACAAGTGTCAAGGTTCGAGTGTCAAGTGTCAAATGTCAAAGTTTCCCAAGCACTGGGGCACGTAGATACAATACATGACCATTTCACGTCCATAAATTGAAAAGCACAACATTGCATAGTCCGTGGAGGGACAGAAAGGGAGCACAGGGCTCAAGACCTGGTGAGCCCATAAAGGGCGACTCTGCATTTGCAGCAGGCACTGTTCTGCCATCGCCTATTGCAGTGGATGAAGTTGGATATGGTTGTGCAAGAGGAGAGCATCACTAGGGACCAGGCAAAATTGTGGTATTCTTGGCAGCGGCAGTCTTCAAGGTGGCATTTGGTGCGATTTTCATGACTCTATTCAACGTGACACCCAAGGTGATACTCAAGGTGTGGGGTTCACCTGAGTACACAGCTCTGACATTTGGCGATTGTGGCGGCTGTGCTTGACATCAAGTGGGCACAGGCGCAGTGTCCAATCTGTGTTGCTTTGATGCCACTACCCATCTCAAGCCAGAAAACCAAGCAGAAGTGGCAGCAACATGCAACTGCAACAATGGACAAATGTCCAATCAATTTCGTGGCACCTGACTGCAGGTGATGGAAACAAGTCAAATTCAACAAACTTCGCCCCACCTTGTGGCCCCAGATGCTGGAAAATATGTAGTACAGCTCGATGTATATGGCACTGAATGGCAGGAACCCTGCCATCGCCATCTGCGCCAGTGTCTGACGGTACCAGGGGAGTGGTGGGATCTCCCTTGGGTACTTTGTTGTTCGACATGGCGCATGGAACTCCGACTTGGAGTTCTTCCCCGCAATGCCGCCAATCACAGTCAGCGGGAACGTCACGAGCGCCCAGATCACGATTATGACGCATATGGTGCCAAACGGCAGGGCCTGCATGCAGCCACCAGGTATGCCCTTTAAACAGCATGAATATCATGCACCACTGCTTCTGAGCACCGTGCACGTGAGATTCTGTCCATGCGCTACAAATGATGGAGAAGTCTCAGAATGCAACACAGAGCATTGCGCATCTGATTTGAAAAGCAGCATATAAGTGTAGATAATGCCATTACAACGCAAAAGAACATATGCCAGACATCGTTCACCCCCATTCAGCAGACCTCATAGAAGAATCTTTGTCACACTGTGGAGGATGGTGCAGATCTTCCCAGAGCAACAAAAACTGCACGCAGCACATGTGACACAGATGAAATTGCAGATGATCCCAACTTCAAGCACAACAACCACTGCTGGAGACTAGACGGTTGGGAGTCAAGAGACAGAATTTGACAATGTAGCAATGCCACAAGAGAATGTGCAACAGAAAGTCAGGCAACATACCCTAAGTGGACATACATTCATTCCTGAGAGAAGCAACAGCCCATGAAGGATGCCAGAGAAGAATGCCATTTATGTTGGCGGACCTGCGTGGAGCCGTAAGCAATCGCCACAGTGTTCAGGAAGGAGAAGAGGCACAGCAGGGGCCCTAGGAAAAGAGCACAGGTGAGGATGATGTTGGGCACCCAGCTGGTGCCACCCATCGTCTTGTACCAAGAGGCTGCAACATATCCAGATATCCCAGAGGTCAGGGCATACAACACCTGCACCAGGGCACAATCCACACAGATAAGCTCGATGTCTGTTCATGGGATAAAGAGGCAGCTAGAACATCGTCTTTTGCAGAGCAACAGGCCCGACCAGAGTTCACCTGGCTTTGCAGATTGCCTCCCATGCACGCACCAGATGCGCCTCCAACACATTGCTGATGCACCTAGAGTCGCAAACCCATAGGAATGCAAGCTGTGCAGTGTTTTCACCCGGCCTTTGGGGATTTCTCCATAACCTTTCACCGCATTGTGCAAAGTCTTGCCACCCTTTCCTGAGTACTGGGTTTCTTCAATGTTGCAGGTGTCTCTTTTCTGTTCCAGTTAATTTTGCTGATGACTGCCTTTGTATGAGACTCCAGGAAATGGGAGTTCAAGTCGCACATATTGAGATATGGAGATACCTGGAGACTGGCAGCACCAGGCTGGCGACGCAACACCTTGTTGTGCTGATGTTCAATGTCATCTCAATAACAGAATCGTGGGCTAAGGATCGCTGCACAAAGAACATAGGAACTGTACTCACCACGCAAGCGGTCAACAGGGCACCCCTGTTGTATGGGTAGAACACGTCAAAGACAGCCAACACGAATATGAAGATGGCAATGACCAAGATCTGGGTGCCCGTGCCCAGCATTGCACAAAACAGGGACAACGGCCTCGGAAAGCGAAAAACATCGCCGTGCAGGTACTTCCAGCCACTCTCCTCCTGGTCGTCGCCCATCTCGTCATCCTTTGTGTACTTCATGAAGTCGTTTTTGAGGACCCGCATAAGGATGGTGGCCAGGAATCCCGTGAGCAGCAGAACTGTGACGCAGGAATTGATGATGGAGAACCAGTGGATCTGCAAGCATAAATCGTCACTGGTTGTACTTCTGTCAACACATCACCACCTTTGGAAAGATAGGAGGTGAACTGCTCCAAGGGTTCTCAACATGAGTGCCCCAACCTGCATATGCAAATCAGTACTGGGTGTGTCTACCACAACTAACTGCTTTTCACCTGTTGGGCAGAACTTGTTCATCTGTCAATATTCATTTGTCAAAATGAAACAAATCACCATCGCTTGTATCAGTATTGTGGGCTCTTTGTTGGAATCTGTAAGCACATACAGTAATCACCCTGTTGGGGTCAGAGTTTAGGGTGCACACAACACTTCACCAACTGACTCACATGCAGTTCTACGCATATGCATCACTAGATTACTTCGATGCCCCTTTATCCAGCCATTGTTCACATCACTGATACTTGGTTTCTGGAGTGCATCTTTTGCTGAAGATCTGGATCCCCAAAATGTGGATCCCCAAACTGTGCTGTTGACAGTTGGGGAAGAACCAGCACAAATCCTTGGGTAAAGTTGGCTTGCTTCTGCTGACACCATCAATTTCCCTAAGCCATTGGGCAGTTTGCATGCCGGGTACCAGCTTGTGTACCCTGAACCCAGCTGCCCCACATGCAAACTGGCACACAGGCTGGTACACAGACTGGTACACAACTTGCCAGTGCACCTGGTGGCAGTACTGACAGCAATACTGATGGGAGGCCGAATTCGAACAATAACAGGTGTGAGAGGCAACAACATGGCTCCTCCCACAATGGGAACATCAACTGTTCCTTGAACTAATAGAAACTTGGGATCGATGCAAATCACCAAACTTTGGGGAGAAGAATGCTGTAGAGTTTTAGTTTTCGGGTTACTGTTTATCTTGAGCTGAGACACCAAAACTACCTCACTGTGCTTAGCCCAAATTCGACACAATGTACCTTGTATTGTATGCTTGTAGGTCTACCAGTGTGGATTGGTGGCACAATACAATGTAGCATTGATACTCAGTGTACTCTTGTAAAAAAAAACTTTTGCAAAGAACAACATCAATAACAACCACCCACCTCCAGGTGCTCAGGAACGACAGAGTACTTTGAGTACTTCTCCAGTCTGCGATCAAAAGTCAGTTCTGTTTGGTGCCATTTCACTGAGTATGTGAAGGGCAGAGTCACGTGGCCAACACTGGTGATGTCCACAGCCTTGTTGGGATCCGTTGACACATTGACGCCAATCACCCTGTCACCATTGTAGGCAATGTCGAAGTGGGTGTGGGTGTAGAGGTAATACTTTGTGCCTGGGGTGGTCTCCGGCCTACCAAACAGACCCCAGATGGGCAGGTCGTCGAAATACATCTGGCAATGATCAGCGATCAACCGTATCAGCAATGGCAGTTCTACATACTGGCAAGCTAACATTCTGCGCTTGGATCATGTTGCACAAGAACAACGTCTAATGCTGCAGGCCAGGACATAACTAATTTTGGTGGACAGAAACTGTTGGCATAGCAGTGGGATCAGGATGCAATGGTAGCACAATATATTCAACAAAATCTTCCTCCACATGCTGAAGCAATGATGCAAGGATTGTGTGGTAGCAGTCGCCATGCCCATTGAGCTGCTCAGTGCTGCATAACGGCATCTGAGCATCGATTCAGGAAGCAGAGATCTGCAATTCTGACCATGGAAGATTGACTTGGATGCTCAGCATTGATGCCTCTCCCACAAGCTCAAACCCCACTCCAACCCAACCCAACCCAAACCCCCTCCCCCAAAGAATACCACACAGTGAATCCTACTGTTCCCTCCCCCCTCCGACTGTTACTTGAAGCACAGCAAAACAACGACAACAGCAACAAGAACGGCAGCAGACATTGCAGTATGTTGTTTTCTTACACCTCTCAAGAGCAGTAGTTTGGAAGTAGAACGACAGCAACACTAAAAACTCCAGCCACGAAAAGAGAACAAGGCAATATTGCCACCTGGTAGTAGTAGTCCTCCTTGACAGCCTTCCTGAACTTGGCTACATCTGCATCGGACAAGTCCTTCTGGCACAGCTCCTGTTCTGGGATGTCCACGAGGAACTGTATTTCATATTTGGTGGTCACCAGCCGGTCACCCTCCAGAACCTCCCCCAGGTCCTCCGGCTTGAAGACACGCTTGTCGCTGGGGGGCGGGCAGAATGCAAAGCTGTAGTACTGATAGGTCTCGCTGACATACAGCACATGCAACATGCAGAGTCAGTCAGGGCATTTAGTAGTGGGCGGCTTCTCTATGGACTGCCAGCACAGAGTCAAAAAGTATTGTCTGGTGGTGCACTTGAGGCTGGCAGCATGCACAGGAATGAGTACATCATGGGCCTTTGCGTTTGGCTGTTACACCATCTGAATCATGATTGACTGGCCTCCTCGTCCAGATGGCCAGTACACTCAAACAGGCCACAGTGGCTCCAAGCAAAGGTACAACTGCATTGCGAGCAGGTACGAAGATTAGCATGCCGAGTTATGTGACCGATGGGCCTCCCTGTAGCCTGACTCATGGCAACGACTCCATGCGTCAATGATTGCTTTTCTCAAAGCAGATGAACAAAGAACACCTTCAAGGCCTGCTTGTGGTAACATTATCTGCATTGTGGCTTCAATCAGAATGTTTGTGCATTCTGCATGCAGTCAATGTGCCTTCAACACAGGTGGCTTGCTGATAGCGCAGCTGCGTGAGGGAGCACAGCAGACAACAAAAAACTGTCCACTGGCAACGTGGGTTTCTGTTCTTAAAGATCTGCCCTTGCACCCATGGTGTGCGGAAGGGGGTTGCTCCTCAACAGCTGGACATTCGCACTTGTTTCAATCTTGCAATCAAAGAGCCTTTACTTTGAAGATCTGATTTGTTGGTGTACACCAAGCAGCGATTGGATGGAAGTCTAGCCTGGCAGGCCAAAGAAATGGAAGCACCAGCAGCGCTGCCAGGATGGAGCAATTGGCAAAGCATCAATATCAATATCACCATTTCTGCCAATTTCATTCTGTCTGCCGCGTCCCACTGTGGAAAACCCAGATGCAGAGTGCCCAATGGCTAACCGCATTTGTGGACACAGGGCAACTTGCTCCCCTCTGCCGTGACAGACAATGCCAGGCGAGAGATGCAGAGAGCAGTACATGGTCATAAGGGAGGAAGCCAGGCTGCACAACAGGCACTGCCGTTGTGGAGTCTTTTTTTAATCTACTCCAAAGTGCAGGAGATGATAAAGGGGTTGCACGCTGACTGGGAAGACGTGGCAGCAAATAGCCAAACGCAAAACCAAAAAAGAACAAGAAACACCGCAGGCCAGGTGGGTGGGCCATGCTGTGGTTGTCCGCGCCAGATGGGTGCGAAAGGCGTCTTGTGCCTCTTTGATCGGAACACAACCCCTTGGGCGGGGCAAGCCGCGCCCCAGAGCCAATCAGGCGAAGCCGTGCATTTGACTCCCCCCTTCCCACCCTCGGCACAGGCCGGGCGACGATTCGGATCGATTCTCCCAAACTTGGCGGGGGGGACGTTCCACAGGCGCGTGCCCAGGATTCGTGGATCTGTGGCAGGGGTCCGCCGAAGTGGCCTGGCCAGCAGGCACCGCGGAGCGCGGCCGGGCGCACAGGGCCCCGGGGCGGGCACGGGCGAATCTGCTTTGGGCCTCACCTTGGATTGTAGTAAGGCCCGACCTTGTTTGCGAACATCTCGATCCTGTCCCCCTCCGCGTATCTGTGATTGGACGCCCCCTTCAGGCCGCGCGCCCCACCGCCCGGCGCGGCCCCGACCGCCGGTAGCAGGACGGCCAGCGCCAGCAGCGCGGGCAGCATGGCCGGCCCCGCAGATCGCGGAGCCATTTTGGAGGCCAAGGCGGAAAGGATCTGATGGGCGGGGCCCGGGGGGGGGATGGGAGGGGACCGCCGGGCCGCCTTCGGGGAGTCCGGCGGAGGGCCTAGTGGCGCCTTGCCGGGCCGGGCCTGCCTTTGTCGTCAGGGAAGGCAGGGGAGACCCAAGGGAAGAAATTTTACGTGCTGCAATTGCCCGGCGGTCCGTGGGTGTAATGTACTTGTCTTCAAGTAATCTGGGTTCGATCGATGGCCAAGGTCGCACGCTCCCATGGTGGGGCACGCACCATTTCTGCCTGAAGGGGTACTCTTCCCGCCCGAGTCCACACTGGCCAAGTACATTACACAGATTCCCAGCAGGCGTCCGTCACCCAAACAAAGCCCACTGACCGTCGTATCATAAAATTTGCCCTTGCGTCACCAGACTCACACTCCTGGGGACGGTCGGGAGGGAGAGCAAAACAGGATAGAGACGGTCAGAGGGCACCATCCTAAAATAGGCAGCACCCGCCTCCCAGCAAAACCGTGGCAAGCCTCTCACGAGACCGGCTGGCTTGCTCCATTCAAAAGCCTGCCCCAAATACAACTATTCGCCCAACCGTCACTCGCTGCCTTCGGTCCAGGCGACAGCCAAGAGCAACCATCCCAGTGTGTTACCCTGTCCAGGCTACTGACGTGTTCTCGTCTCCCACCCGTGTCTCCCTATGCAGAAATTCATTAACGACGTTACTCCCTTGTCCCAAAATGTCTCTCCTGTGGCACCGCGTCTGAGTGTCTGCGACCACCTAGCATTCGTCAATGTGGAGATAATGAAAAATGAATGCTGACAATGTGCGCATTCTTTAACGCAATTGTAGACGGAAAAATGACAGAAGGCAACTGAAACAACTATGTTAAAATCGTGCTGACTTGCTCAGTCGCGAGTTTCAAATGTCACCCATGTTAATAATGACCTAAGTACTGAAACATTTGGCAACAGCGAGGCATTTCAGTCTCCACCCAACGTGCTCCTTTTTGCCATTCTGACCAGTGCATGCTCCAACGCCTGATGGGTATGGGTATGGCCACGAAACTGCAGTGATATTCGCTGCGAAAATTTCACACCACGCAGAGCGAAACCCACTGATTCCTCAGTTTACAATGGTTTATTGAGCCACTCCGCATTTTGCACACCGCTGCGAGGCTTCGCGTGCAGAGAATCGATTAAGAAATGCCACCAAAGGCTTTCCAAAAATTGTGGAGCTGCCAACAAATGAAGCCCTTATCAGCTTCAGCCGAATTTGGACTTGTGACAAACCGCACTTCCACTGATTGACAGCACTGCGCCCGAAAGCGTCTGCAAGTGATCCCCACATAATTGCAACGGCGTTTGCCACGCCTCAAGGTCCTTTACACTGCTTGCAATATCTGGCGAGCCCGGAAGCACGAGTCGCTGCCAAAGATAATCAGCATTTGTGGCCACCATCCCCTTGGGCTCATTCTGGCGATGCCAACGGGGAACAGGCAAGGGAGCATGAAGGGCGCAGGGAATTCCCTTCGCTTTCGAAAGCGATCGAGGGTATGCCTTAGAGCCGCCGCGGCCTGAAATCGTGACGTTCAAATTCAACACAGTGCATTCGAATGGTTTAAATGCGTTGAATCAAAGGCATTGGCGCCTGCATCTTGGACGCTAAGCTGAGTGGGGGGAATTCGTGGATGAGAATTGCTTGCGGCGGACAAAAGTTGCACATCCTTTGTGTACATATTGCCGGTTGTGGCCATATCTTCGCCCATATCTTCGCCATATCCAGGATCAGGCTTGTGATTTACGTTTGCGTTTATGTTTTTACGTTTACGGTTACGTTTATGTTTTTACGTTTGCGTTTTCACGCGGAAGAACGTAAATCTGCAAAAGGGGCTATTTTTGCGGCTGTATTTACGTTTCCACGGCTCGTTGTGACACCGAGGTAACACGATAAAAACCGCGCACAATGATCAACCCTCCACCTCCTCGAGCACCCGCAACACAGCGTCGACGTAGCACTCGGCAAGTGCCACGACGACGCGGAACAAATGTTGGTTTTCTGCCCATTACAGTGCGTCTGGCTGCTTATCCCGGATACCCGAAGGCTGTATGTACTGTCCTTGTGTACAAGGGGCTGTATTTACGTCGCATTTACGTATTTTTAAGGGTTTTTATGCGTAAATCGTAAAAGCTACTTTTACGCACAAAACGTAAATACGATATGTGCTTACGGCGTAAATAACAAGCCTGTACAGGATGGGGAAGCCTTATATTCCGGATGTGGAGTTTCCATTTCCAGTATATGGCCTATCCTGGATATGTACCACAAGATCCGGAAGATGATGCCTACGTCCTCTCCCAGGTCCAGGATACGGGGCTTTTTACCGACAAACATGGCTGCGAGTCCCCAACATAGAGGCCAGCGGTATCCATGGTGTGGTGTGCGGCCTGGCACCGTCACCACAGTGCACAGTCTGATGCGCAATGTGCCGTGGCACACGAGAATGACAGCACCGGCAGTGCATCGCCGTGCGCTGCGCATGGGTAGATTGTGCAATCTGACGTCACAGCGGGGTACCTTGGTGTGATTGTCACTCGGAAGACACATAATCATCGTGGGATCCGCTTACCCTTTAGACATCTTCTGAGGCACCAACACGCGAACACATTTGGAGAACAAAGTGTCTCATGTCGGTAGCCTACACCAGCAGAAAACAGCCTGTTTGCGACGCCGCCTGCGATGCCATTTGGACACAAATTGATGCCATCGCAGCCCCATTTATGCCATCGCACTCACTGTGACGGCATCAATTTGTGTCCAAATGGCATCGCAGCTGGCGTCGCAAACAGGCTATTTTCTACCAGTGCTACAGGTAGATGCTGACTGTCCGAAGGACTGCTCACAGATTTGGGGGGTCGGAGCATTGGACACGGCATTCGTGTGCCGCAATGCAATTAATTTTATGACTATTTGCACTTATCTACATAAGATCTTATGTGCGCATCAATAAAAGCGCAATACCTGGGATCGAAGCGATGGCGCCGTTGATGAGATGGCGGAGGCGGCATTGGAATGGAAATGCAGACCAGTATTTCTGACGCACGTTGATTGTGTTTTGCCAACGTCCTGCAAATCGCTGCATTGTTACCCGCTCTGCGAGGCGGAATCAGCCATGGGATGGATGCTTGCCCAGAATGCTCCCTGAGCATGCGTGATGATTGGGTCACTCAAATTCAGACGGTACGACAAAAGTTTCTCAGTTGGACAATACCTTTGGCAGGGAGGGTATTTGCTGCGCTTAGCCCAGCACAGTGGCTCTCGACAAAAACTCCCTGTCCGCCCAATGCCGCGGGCCACGGCGGTGTCGATGCAAGTTGAACAAGTACACAATTGCCCGCCGCGTCTGCGCAGGCGTGGCGGGCAATTGTGTGCCTGTGCATGCACCGAGCCTCAAAGCTCGCAGGACCAGCACCGCGCTCCTGTGCGCAGCTTCCCGCCAGAGCGAACCTTCAGGACGACCACACCGGCTCCCGCCCAGACTGACTGGCACCGCTCTCAGGTTGCCGGGATCGATCCCGGCTTATCGCGTTTCCGGGGAACCTCACCAGCCTCACCCCTACCTGTGGAAGAAATTCGTCACGCGGCCCTCTGTTTTGTCTACAGCAGCTCGCAGGTGCCCTGAGACTGCTCGCACGGGCGCGCTCGGCGCGGCTGAGTCGACCCGGGTTTCGCAGAGCGCGGGGGCCGATAGAAGTGCTCCCTTGGGAAGGCGTGCCACCGCTCTGAGGTTGGCGTCCAGGTGCGCACTGCGGGGTGTCACTGTTCGAGTTCTGCCCTCGTGGGGCTGCTGTACAACGCCGGACGCCCGTACATGTCAACCCTTAGCTCCCTGCCTTGGAGATTTAGGCGCGCGGAACACGAAACCTTGGGGGCAACCTCGCAACTCGGCGTTGCCCCCCAGAATTTTGCAAGCGCCGAATTTGCCCCGGCAGCGATTAATGGGCTGCCCGCTGGGTGGCCAGGCTGCCGCCCGGGCGACGCAGCCGCGCTCGCCGGAGGAGACCCTTGAGCGCCGGGCGCCAGGCGCCAGGCCCAGGCCGGGTGCCCAGGGAAAGTGTCTCGGTGGGGCAGGCGGTTGGGGCGCAAATCTGCGTCCCTTTAAAAGGCAGGCCACCTGACCCGCTTTGCCTGCCCTTCTTCACTCGAAAGGAGCGCCACGGGGAATCTGACCGGCGGCGCGGGCTGGAACCGTGCGGTCTCCAGAAGCGGCCGGCGCTCTGGACGTGGGCGTCGATCCTAATGAGCCGCGGACGGGGGGGCGGGTGCTGAAGGCCCCGCGGCCCCGGGTGCGCCGGGCGATTGGCCCATTGGCGCATTGTCCCACAGGCGTTCATGTCGATCGACCAGATGCGATCCGCCATGGGCGGGGTTGAGGGGTGGGAGTGAGGGACAGGGGAGCGGCATCCGTTCGTCGCATTTTCTTGTGAAATCGGCCAGCGAGGCTTGACCCCTGTCCTTGCGGCAGTGGCGCGGCCACCAGCATATACTAGTCCCTCAATATTTTCTGTGTGGATGCCTTTTTCTTCCGCTGCCCAGGCCACCGCCGGTCGGTCACCAGGGGAAAAGTGGCCAAATAGCTCGTGTTCGGACGTGTAGAAAGTTTACGGGTTTGTGTTATTTTCGTGTTTTCAGCATGCAGAAAACTGATAAAATGCACGTAAATGTGCTCGCAAAAAGTGTTATTTGGTCCTTTTGTTCCTAGTGAGTGGGTCAGTGCTTTAAGGTTCAGGGCGTCCGAAACAAGATGAGATCCATACGAAAAGACAGAGCGACTAATCTCATGCCGGGGGTCCACTCTTTTTGGGTCAGTCCGCCATGGTCGGGCGTGGCCCGCACGTCCGCGGGGGGCGTTGTCATAATATTACCTAAATGGGCACTTCCAAATTCCTTTCAACTGTAGAACGGAACTTGAAAGGCGTGATTGCTACCACGGTTCTACCATCAGGTCCCACCAGCCCCTTGTGCATGAATGCTTTGCGGCAATTTGTTGCGATTTTGTCACACGCAGAATCTGAGAGAAATGGACATATTTGCTTGCCGTCTGCCAATTCCACACTGGGCAGATTAATTCCACGATGGCCGCTGCGAGTGTGGTTGCTTTCCTAATGCCTTCTGCCGTATATGCATATCCGTCCATACGGTGCATTGGTGACATGCTGCGGTTGGCATCACAGGTATTGCTCTGACAGCAACGCACGAGCAGGAGGGGAAACGCAGAGGGGGTCCGTATGGCTTCGCTTCTGGTGCTCATCGTTGTCCTAGTTTCAAGCGTGGTGAGATAATGTTAGATGACTTTGACTCGAATAATTTGCTGCTGAGCCTGTCATGGGGAACACGACACGGAATTCATGTTAATGCCTTAATAGGAAGATATTAAGGGGCTCAAAAATGTTTCAATCATAGCAAATTGGAAAGAAACAGAAACTGCAGGAACGAATTGCGATTTTTTGGCTTTGATGCAGCAGTATTGCATCGATAGCAAGTAATGTTTTGTAAGTAGGGAAATGAAATTAACGCCACTAGGTGGCGTGACGATGGTGGAACTGGATGGAGAACGCCTCGTAATATAAGCGCACGAAATGGCGGCAGTTGTCGCTGCGATTCTATGGCATAAATCCTATTCACAGCTGATTGTAGGTATGCTGCAGACTTTTCAAGCAATCGGTTATGCTGATACTGACGGACGTTCCACCCCTGGGAAAAGCAACTAGAATTCGGTGTTTAGGAACACGGTTGCCATTCAGCATTGCTCTCCATCTTGCGAACGCGTGGATCATGAGCGGGCGGTGGCATAAGGTTCAAGTTGAACTGTTCAACTTGAGCGGAAGGTGAATCCTGTACTATTTGCGGTATAATACCTTTAATGTTGAAAGTGCCCATATGTATTTAGCTAATACTAAATTGATGACTTTGATTAGCGTCCATCATTGAAGAGGTACTGAATAACGCGTCAGCCGGAGCATCCATGGATACAGTGGTGAAGCACCCAGATTTCATAATGCCGAGTGTGCTTAAGACTATGCAGGTGCTGTAAGCACCCCTTCTGGAGGTGGAGGTACAAGACGCAGCGCTGTGAGAGAGGCACAAGTCACTACAGTGTGGCTCTGAGCATGCCTTTCCTGAAAGAATTTTTTGTGCTTATCAGGGACATTTGGGAACTGCAAGGAGGGAGGGACCATCTGATGGGAAATCTCTGACGTCCTTCGAATTTTCAGAGGGCACTCTTCAACGTGAGGAGGCTATTTCGTTCGGAGAACAAAGCGGCAGTTCTTTCTTTCAGTGACAGCAAGAAATGCAAGCGCCTCCACAATGGCCGCCATTCAGTGGCACATGGTGGCTATATAGCCATATACGGAGTGTTGAAAACTCTGTTTTTCCAACCATCTTCCTTTGCATTAGATTCCTGACTCTGAATTGCATGTTTGCTGCATTGGATCCTTATTTGCATGTATATTTATATATTATTGGATATATACTGGATATTGTTGGTTCCGTGAGGAGCAGTTCACATGGCAGTAATCGTGTTTTCATGGTATTGTTGCAGAAGGAAACCCTCTGGAGTTTCAGCATCACAGACAGCTCGAACAGGTGAGAAACTAATTTGCAGCTTCCTCTGAGCAGGTGGGTGCTTAGAGTGTTGGGTTTTGCATGACTCTCTAGTTCTGGCGAAATCCTCCAAGTGCAGGATTCAATGTATGTAGATCACAAGCGGGCCGCTTGGGTGTTGCATGTATTGGTGCGCGTGCTGACAATACCTCATTGCGTTATCATGCTCAGGACGCTCCATCTGCAAATGCAACTGACACGCAGGCAGCTGACAAAGAAGCTAAGAAGTTGGCAAAGAAGCTTGGAAAGGTGAGTTACCGCTCCTGTAAAGATCTGCACGCATTCGTAACAATATGTTTTTTTACTTATATTATTATGATATATTCATTATATTCATTATGTATTCATATCGTTTCGTGTCATTTTTTCTGTGCGCGTTCAACTGGGCTGGAGCAAGACCTGGGCATGCAACGGCGTCGAATCCCATCTAATATTGGATCACGCTGGCGAAAATTCGGCCATTTTGCACTGTGTACAATCTTGTGAGATCGTGTTAAAATCATGGTAGAATCGGGTGCTTTGAAGCACGATTTTACACGATGGGTAAAGTCGTGTAGTTTTCAGCCCTGTGCAGTGCACGAAAGTGGCCCAGCTTACCAGCATGGACAAAACAGTGAAGAACAGGGTTTTACACGATCTCAACTGTGTACCAGCCGCAGCCGTGTATTTTGTGATCAGTACACTATTTTTAAGCGATTTTCACACGATTTTTACACGCATAAGACGGCACAGGATTTGCAGGACCATGTACTTTGGCCGATTTGTTGCCAGTGTCGGTCATTTGCCTTCAGTTTCTCTGGAAAAGATGGACAGGTGAAATGTGACGCAATCTCTTGCCCCATATCCCTTTTCTCCTTTCTCAAAATCATTCATCGCTCTAACCGTATATCGCTTAGTCACTTGATCAGATATATAGTCTACGTACATGCGGTCAAGTGTATGCCCCCAGCTTTCAGCACTGTAACACGATTCTTGGCGTGGCCACTTCAGAAACTGTGGAAAGCCGCCAGCGAGGGCAACGTGAAAAAGGTGCAGAAGCTCATCGGCAGGGGCGCCAGCCTCAAGGTGCGGCGGGGCGAGCTCAAGGACACTCCGCTCATGATCTCCTCCGCCAACGGCCACCTGGAGGTCGTCGAGACATTGATCGACGCGGGCGCGGGCGTCAACGCCAGCGACAGAGACCGGCGCACGGCGCTGTACAAGGCCTCCTTCGCCGGACACCTCCCGATCGCTGAGGCCCTCCTGGCCGCCGGGGCCGCCGTCAACAAAGCCAAGGACGCCAGAATCACCCCTCTGTGGGCGGCGGCCCACGAGGGACACGCCCAGGTTGTGAACGCCCTGCTCCAGGCGGGAGCGCTGGTGGACAAGGCCACACTGGAGGAAGTCACGCCGCTGTGGGCCGCAGCTCAAAACGGCCACGTCGACGTGACGGAGCTGCTTCTGGAGGCCGGGGCAGATCCGAACAAAACCAAAAACACTGGCGCTTCTCCGCTGCTTGTGGCCTCCCAGAACGGCCACGCTCCGGTGGTCGACGCGCTTTTGGAGGCTGGAGCAGATCCGGAAGCGGCAAATGCGGAGGGGATCGCGCCGTTGCACTCTGCGTCCGTGACCATAGGTAACGCCAGCGTGGCGGTGGTGGGCAGCCTGCTGGACGCCAATGCCACGATCGACAAACCGGACAACCTGGGCTGGACGCCGCTGATCTGGGCGTCGTCGCACGGGAACTTGGGCACGGTGGGGCTGCTGGTTGAACGGGGGGCCAACGTCACGGCCGTGGCGGTCGACGGCAAGACGGCGGCCGACCTGGTGTGCGAGTGCCTCAACAGCGAGGGGGACAGCAGTCGGGCGCAGTGCACGCCGGGGGGCTGCGAGTTGCCGCAAACGAGCGACCGGATTACGGAGCTCCTGAAGTAGTGCTCGCGGTGCTGGCAACCGACAGCTGGCAACTGCTTCTGGCAATTGAGTTGCAACTTCTTCGCGCATCCCAAGCGGCACTCATTTCGTTGTGAAGGGATATTGGCTTTACAAGGCGACGCGCGACCTCGCCGCTGTGCTTATGTTTAGCATTAGATTTCAATGCACTCATCGTAGACACTGCTTTGCTCCCGCAAAATAGGAAGCTGACGGCTACCTCGTTGCCTTGTTCTGTAAAAAATGATGATGATGATGATGACGATGATGAAAAAATCGCTGTGCAGGGAGCACCGATGCAGCTATTGTATCGGTTAACCTGCAAAGATAAATTCATTCATTCATTCGATCTCATTTCATCTGTTTCCTGAGGCGAAGTGAACATGGATGTGCTGGATGTCGCAATCACTGCGCAGCGAACGAGATGCCGTGTAAAACTTCCATGGCTTGCTGGCCTGTCGCTGGTCGTCGTTGAATCAGCGCGAATCGTCGCTGCGAAGGGAGGTGGGTGGAGTGTGTGTCTGCACCATGAGGACCGACTGTGTGATTAGTTGCTTCAGCTAGTGTGGGAATGGGGGCGAGAAAGCGAATGGGGGTGACTGCGTTTGTGGGAGTGATTCGAAAAGTGACTGCGGTTTCCGCGTCGTCCATCAAACTCATCGCCGTTGTAGAATCTAAACATGGAAAGTCGTTTCTAGGGCAAAGGTATCCATTCGTGCAGAACGTCATGTGGGCCCCAAAGGCGTCATCCATTCCAACCGCTTTGCATTGTATTGTACCAACAAGGCAGGCCACAGTCTCGTACTACAAAGTGACGCGTCCATATTGGCCATCTTCGTAGGCCAACATACGGTATTGTGCTTGAACGCGTTGTGCAATAATTGATCCCACCCACGCATTGCGCCCAACTATGGAGGAGCCAGCTTCCAAAAACATGAGCCCGCACCATACCAAAGAGAGCTTGTCTGCAGGGACTGGGATTGAGCATTATGCAATATGCAACACAGGGGACGTGGCAAACATCTTGTCAGGGGAGGGCGTTAGCAACCTAACAAAGTCGCCCTTTATTGCTACATCGCAGAATAGTGCATTCTATGTTTCTCTGTCCCACTGCAGAGCCCTCAACATTGCGCACATTGCGCACCATGCACGTGGCACGCTGCTTTTGCGGCATGTGGCATGTGCCAACCAATTTCAAACTTTACGCTGGGATCACGGGAATGTGCTGTGCATCCAAGTGAAGCTGACAAAGATTGGATGGCATCCAAACAAAGACGCAGTGCACATTTGCGATTGCCGTGCTTCCTTTCCTAATAAGGAAGCACGACGTTCTCAAATGTGGGGCACATACTATGTGGCCTTTGGAAACCTTATCGCCATCTCGTGTTGCACCTGTCCGCTCATGCCTGGATTATCAGCTCCAATTTAAGGACCACGTCGGTTTCAAAGAACCAAGGGTTTGATGAAGATATACATTACTCCCTCTGTATTTTCCCTGAGGATCCCTTCTTCTTCCGCTGACAAGGCCAAAGCCGGACCGTGGGACAGTGGTTTAGGGTTTAGGGTGTCCGAAACAAGAAGGGATCTTCACGGAAAGGACAAAGCGACTAATTCCATGCCGATTTGGTGCTTTGGTTCAGAGTTTTGCCGTAGTATACTAACAATTCCTCAGGCTTCTGCCAGAGGCTGCAACACCAACTCCTCCTCGCTTGCGCCCAATCCGCGGCCAGATACTCCGTTGGCGCCAAAATGAGCCGAGCGCATGCCTGCCCACCCGCACCCACAACCCCATCCAACCTCTGCACCCCGGACTGACCCACTCCCCACCCGTTTCCCTGGGCCCCCAACCGCCCGCCGGCCCTCCACCCCGCCCCAGTCTCCCACCGGCCGCGGAGGGCCCTCTGGGGGCCTGGGCATCGCATCCCCCGCTCGCCCAGGCCGCGTCGCCGGGGAGTCGCCCGCGATGGAATCGGATGCCACCGCCGCGGAGCTCGCGGAAGTCGATTCGCCCCTGTCGTCGCCGACGTCGGTGGCGGGCCTGGGCGTCCTGCGGCGGCGGTCTCTGTTCCTGGACAAGGAGCAGAGCCCGGTGGGTGGCGCCGCACCCATGCACCGCGTGCCGGCTGGCACCCGGCCGGCCTCGCGACGATGCAATCCGAATTCATGCGTCGTCTGCCTTGGATTTTCGCCGCACTGCGCTGCACCGCACCGGCCTCGGGATGTCTTCCATCGACTTCTCTTGCCAGCTTCTGCGCGCCTTTGGAGCGGGGATGTCTCGGGAAGAAAGCCGCCGCGGCCGCCTCACCTCGCGAATCGCGACCCAGCGTGGCTAAAGGGGTTCGATCCTTCCACGATCATGTCCCCACACCCGCTGGCATTTGGCCCCGGTGCCATCTGGTCCCTGAGCGGTCCGCACGCTCTCGCGCGAGCGCGCGGATCTCCAGGTTCGCCGCCTGAGACTGGGCCCCCCTCGACCGCTCCCTGTTTCCCTTTCTTTCTGCAGCAGGTTTTACCCATCGGCCGCTGCCTCTTTCTTGCTGTCTGTAACAAGTCTTACCCCCAGGCCACTGCCTGTTTCTTGCTGTTTCTGTTGCGAATGCTGCCCCTTCGCCGCCGTCTATTTCTCTTGTTCTCTGACGAAATCTTGCCCGTCGGCCACTTCCCGTTTCCCTATCTTTCTGTAACGAATTCTTGCCCGTCGGCCACTTCCTGTTTCTGTTCCTTTCTACAACCAATCCCAACCCTCGGCCGCTGCCGCCGATCCCAGGTGCTGTTCAGATCGGGCGACCTGTCCCCGCGCGGCGCCAGGGAGCAGCAGCGCCAGCAGCGCCTGGCCGCGATGCTGCTGGAGCGCGGCAAGGCGCGGGACGCGCTGCAGCTCGTGGAGAAGGCGCTGCCCGGGAGGCCGGACGACACAAACTGGATCAGCCTGCGAGGGCAGTGCTACTTGAAGATGGACAGCCCGCCGGCGGTGAGTGCCCGCGGACGCGTCGCGGCGGAGCGAATCGCCCTTGTGGGGGCGCACTCCTGATTTTGGGACTTGCTGTAATTTCCTTGGATATCTTCGGATTTCATTGCTGCGTTCGCTCTGCGATCAGTGCTATTTTGCAGGAGCCCGCGCCTTCTGTCGGCATTTCGGTGTTCGGGCTATTGTGTGCCGCCATGGAGCGGGAACCGTTGGTCCGCAGCTTCGTGGAATTGAGCTGGGCGTCGAGCGCAGCAGAAACCGTGGCCATGGTCGTCTTCCTCCGCGTTGTGCATGTTAGATGCGCAACGGAGAGGCGTCCCTAAAGCCAGGTTGAAGAGAACTAGTTTCTGAAGAAAGCTGCACTGAACATGGGAATAAACATTGTCCTTCTGGCAAGAGTTTGTGTGGCGTTCTTTCCCTTGTGGAAGATGGAAGATGTGGGGGAAGTGAAGCAGCAATGGCTTGCACCACAGTGTGCACGAGTGGCAAGAAAACCAGGCCATGTTTCGAGCCAGATATTGACTTTGGCGTCTTCTCTGTGTGCATGAAGCCCCAATCACAGATACTGTCATTCCCTTACTTTTCCTGTGTGCAATTTCTTATCAGTCAGTGCTCATGCTCGTGCCAAGTTGTTGTTGCCTGGCATGCATGAGTTCTTGTACACAAGTTTGCCAAGCACCTTCGGCTGGGACAGTATCTCAACTGCACCAATCCTGGTGGGATCCTGGTTCGCTGAACCAATCCACTTTCTCATGCTGCAGGCATATGCTTGCTTTGTGTCAGCATTGAAACTGGACCCTAAGCACGTGGACTCCCTGATGGGATTGGCGGCGCTCTACAATACCAAGGAGATGATGCAGGAGTGCATCGATGCGGCCACGAAAGCACACAACCTAAGACCTGAGGACAAGGTACAACTTCCTGCACTCGGGCTGTTGAAAGTATGTCTTGATGCTCGGGTGTGAATCACATGACTTGAACCAAATTTGGAGCAACAGTTGCACGTGCTGACACAACGGTTGGTCCCTTGCAAGCATTCGCTCCCTTTCCAGAGGAACTAAAAACCAGGACAAAAAATCCAAAGGTGTCCAGAGAATAGAGAGCAGGTTCTGTGCAGATATCCAGTGTTGTTTGCTGCAATGCCAGCAACTGAGCAAAGCAGTACCTAGCGCACAATGGCCCAGTGTCTTCATTAAAGATTTGCCCCCCAATTCCTGTTAATTGCTATGGTGTAGCTCACTATTGATGTTGGCTAAACTGAAGTTTTGGCACTCCTGATAGTGCAACAGCAAGCCAAGGCATGTGTGGCATCATGAACTCAATAGCGTACTATTCAGGAAAATTGGTGTGTAGGTATGGCAGGTCCCCAATTTTTTGTCAGGCCAATCCCAGCTATCAGCAATGACACAAATGGATGAGCAAAATCGCCATCTGTCTTGGGCTATTCACTGACATCGCAGCAAAGCTAGAGACAGTAAGCCCGACATAGCACTGATTTAGATGCAGCAACAACATTATACAAGTACATGCACTTGTTGGTTCCACTAATGTTATGACAATGCCCCATTGTAAGGTAGCCCTTACAGTGGTGACTGGGACAAGAAAACACTACGTGCATGTGAACAGCACCCGGCTTGGCCCAATACGTGTGGGTGCAGTGATAACCATCTCATAATGAAGTCGAATCTTGGACGATTTTGATGATGGCGATACTTGAATAGAGCAACTTGGTTCTCGTTCTCTTGGCAGTTGAGCATAAAATTCTTGATGAATTTTGGGTCCAAATTGTCAACATCTCAAATGCAACCTGTGTCCAAGTGCAAATTCAAAATCCTAGTGTGATAGCTATGGGGAATTGACCAACAAAACCAATGGTTCTGGTCACATATAACCATTAGTTTCAACAAAAGACTTGAGTGCCACTACCAATTCTTGGAGCAAGAAATTGTTGATGTTAGCGGTGCAAGGCATCGGCTCATAATTGCAGAGCCGTTGCTGGTCATCTCAAGAGACACGAAAATAAAGCAGATGTGGAATGGAGAACTGTGCGGTGGACTGGTTGCCGCAGCTGCAGAGCATCTCATTGCCAGCGACACAGTTGTTCGATTTTCTTGGCTGGTGTCGCAGAAGATTGAGTTCCCACTGTATGGTGTAGGGGGGACTTGCATGATTGACAGGTAATTGGCTTATGCTTATGTAGATGATCAGGGAGATGCTGGCAATAGCTTTGATGGACATGGGGACCAAGCTGAAGATAGCAGGTTAGTTTGATTGAGCATTGAGATTGTCACCTCAAGGCATGCAAGGGGTTTCGGGTGTGGGGTGTGGGGTGTGGGGTGTGGGGTGTGGGGTGTGGGGCTTGTGTGGTATCATGCGCATGGTGACAGCTCTGCTGCTGGCAACATTCTGTAACACGCCAGTTTGCTGTGCATAGCCTAAGGGTGAATGGACAGTGGGATTTCATGTCCTTTGGCAAATGCAGCAACCAACATTTGGATGGTGTCAAAGTTGCTGGAGCATGTTGTTCATGCTTGCATGCATGTGAGATCTCCTTGGTACTTTGTACATTATTAGTACATATGGCCTGTCCCCGAACTGCACACGCTACATTGTGCACAGTGCAGAACTGCAGGGGCAGTCGTTTTGTTACCGTGCTTCTTGAGAGAATGTGGCGCAAGGGTTTGCAGCCACGGGGCCTGTTTGTCTGATCGCAGGAAGTCTTGCACTGGTTATGGACCTGGCATTGGTGTGCCAGAGGATTGTAGTACAATATTAGCACACACATAACATGTACACTCCTGTTTTCAGCGCCATTGTTGATGTGAGGATGACTCAGAAACATATGGTGAACGGTGTGAACTCAGTGTGTATGGTGGATATGGTGAGAAATTATGGTGCACAAAATGTGAACTGTGATATTGCATGTTGGAGAACAAAAAATAGCATGTTTTGGGACACAATACGAAGCTGCATGTACAAGCAAGCAGCGTGTTGTATAATCTATCCTTTGAGGCCTGTCTCCTGCAGCTGAGGGAGTCTGTGTGCTTTCTGCGAAGGAGTATGCGTTGGTTTACAATTTAGCAGTTGCTGTAAGCAATACATATTAAGCAAGTATAGTACACATAAGTACGGTATATATAAGTACATTGATGTCAGTGCATCGCGTTGTCTTGTATTGATTGTTTCCAAAGCGCAATATTGGTATAGGTCTTACAAACTTGATGCCTCTGGTCAGGGGACATGGACAGGTGCATTGAGAACTACAAACGTGCTCTGGAGGTGTGTGAAGACTACGGCCCTGCTTGTTACAACTTAGGGGTGGTGCACTATGAGCTGAATGAGGTGAGAGATTGTGGTTGGGGGGCCCAGCGAGTTGCATGGATTGAATTTGCACACACAGGTCTCACAGAGCCCTTGTACCTTTGAAGGCAATGGTGGGCATGTGTGCATCTGGAAAGTCTGTTTGCTTCCCTTTTGTTGGTAACGTTGTGCTCCACCGTTTGCGCCACGCACATGGAGACGGAATGCTTGCAGAGCACAACATGCAGAATCCATGCAATGGCGTATGCTCCATATCAGGTGCCTGGATTTGTGCTTTTCACAAATACAGTCAAACAGTTGTTCCATTGAGTACAGATGTGGCAGGCTTGTGGTATGCTCACGTGCCCTTGGGCCCTTGGTGGAATGACAGTGAAGAAATTGACTGATACTGAGCACATGTATTGGAAAGACAGGGAGCAAATTTCGCCTCGGTACCATAGTATGTTTAACCCTGCGTCTAACACCTGCATCAACAGTTTACTGTTGCCCTTTTTGGTCCGCAATATGTTTTTCAGAGACTTATTTTATTTCCTTTACATTGCTGAACAAAGATTTGTTAAAGTGTGCTGCTTATTTTATTGTTTTCTCCGCAAAAAGAGCCATGTGTTACGTTGTTATGCGGAAGGGTTGAATGTACTGTGGTGTGGATTTGGGAGCAGCACTGCAAGTGGTTGGCTGTTGCAGGTCGGGTTCAGGTGTGCTGGAATGCATCTATCTTGTCGCTGCCCCCTTTGCCTGCATCTGGAATGGCTTTGAAGTCATGATGTGGTCAGCCTTGGGCAATGTCTCAAAGGAATAGGGTTTGGGGAGAGGGGGGATAGATGATATGCTCACAGCCTGGGAAGGGGACGAAGCTCGCCTGTGCACTGGCTGCTTTTCCCTGTACACCCAAGTGAGCTGTTGAAGGGCAGCTGGCCATTCTTTTGCAGTATGTGCAGGAGGGTGGATAGGGGGGTCCTCCCTGGTTGCCTGCCCTTTGGAAATGCCCTTCCACTCAACTGCACTGCTGTGCATTCACGCTAAACCGCAGTGCATTCCAACACACTTGCCTATCAATCATAAGTGAATTGAGTTAGAACAATTGTTCATCGCTGTCTATTTGCCTGTTGTGCCTCAGCTGTTGAGTGTGGACATATCATGTCTAAAACTGTGAAGGCCAGTAGTGAGTCGCTATCTCACCTGTTCATTCCAGCACCACCCCACCACCACCTTCTCCTGCTGTCTATTTTGGCACCTCTTATTGGAGACTCCACTACAGAGCAAATTGTGCATTGTAGGGCAAATTTTCTCATGCTTTTGGTTGCAGAAAGACAAGGCACTGGAGTATTACAAGAAGGCTGCTGAGCTACAGCCCAACTACGCACAGGCCCACTGCAACATGGGGGTAATCCACAAAGAGCAGAGCAACCTTGAACTGGCTATTCAGTGCTACGAGAAGGCACTCGTGGTGCGTGTCTGTGACCACACCGTTCTTTTCCAGCAGTACATACTATTGCATCACTCTTTAGAGCTCAAGGCATGCCCATTACCAGAGCGTTGGGACATTCGTTTGGCTTGCATCGTGCATGCACAGTTACAAGGATACTGTCCTACACTTAGCCATATAGCAATACGGGCACATCGCTGTACATATTGTGTTCAAGCTTGCTGATGCTTGTGTTGGTCAGCTTGTACGGATGACTTAGGTGTTTGAGTCCACTGTCCCCTGTTGACCAGCCAGGACATTTTGCAGCTTTGTACATGGCGAAACCTCAAATTGTGCCAGAAGGAAAGGCAACGGGAAAGCAAATTCAACTCGTCAGGCAGTTCAGTAAACACATCCTTTGGTCATCCATGGACACAAGATACTGTAAACTTCATGTATGAATTCAGCATCTTTTTGCCAGATGGGGCTTGATATGCAGTGTCAAAAGGTGCTGTGGCATTCGACATGCACAAGAAGATCAGGAATGTATACAGCCATAACTACGTTTTCCACTCATGCAACCAAAGATGCAGTTATTATGTCTCAATTGCTGCTGTTTTGCTATGCACTTGGGATTGGAGATCACGTAGCCTTCTGACAAGCCTGCTTGCTTGCTGCAGTGCAACCCGAACTTCCAGACCGTGCACAACAATCTGGCCACTGCACTATCAGAGTTGGGCACAAAGCTGAAGATGGAAGGAAAGTTTGATGAGGGTGTAGCGATGTATGAGAGGGCCTTGGGCCACAATCCAAAGGTCAGATCAACCACGTGCTTCCCATGTTTCATCCATCTGCAACACTCTTTATGCTGTGTCCAAGGTTGCCTGTGGGAGTATGAGAGTTTGTTGGACTCATACCACCAAATTGGTGTTCTCTTGCCATTCTTGTGCCTGACTGTCTCCCTGCTTGAAAAGTTTCCGCCATTTTCATATCAAGATTTCTTGAAGGGGTATTCGCACAGTGTGAAGTCATATGCCACCTTCAGAAGTTTTCTAGGCTGGCATGGCTATCATAGACGTTGGTGCACTGGCTACTGGTGCGATGATGATGATAATGAATTCCTTAACTACATAGCGTTCACTAAACCCAACTCTGCTCCCAGCAGCATAAACATGATGTCAACAGCCTGTGCCACCTATCGGCATTGTGTCAGAAGCAGAATAAAGGTTGCCCTCCCAGAGCCAACAGCAAGCTTTGTACTCCACAGCTCATAAAGAAACACCTTTACAACGTTTCTCATGAAGAAAACTATCCACTAACCTTTCAACTAATCTTTTGGAAGAAAACAGAATACTGTCCTTTTGTGCTTGGCTGTGCCATGGGGAATGAACACAGGGTCTTTTAATTTTGCGTGGCCGAGTGGGATTATGCTGATGTATAAACTATGTGCAGATTCCTCGCATGTGCCTTAGCTGCTGTTGTCTCTGTTTTGTGTTGCAGCATGTCCAGGCGGTGTACAACCTTGGGGTTGCGTATGGAGAATCTGGCCACCTGGACAGAGCAATCTTCATGTGAGTGCATTGTGCATGCAAGATTTGTCAAATAACAATCCAAGAAAAAACAGATCCCAAAAGATCCCAAAGGATGCCTCATCTTTCAGTTGACTTATACTGCACATTTCTACTGGGCAGACAAGGTGAAGCCCCCTGCTTGTGGTGAATTGCTGCTTACTAGTCAGTTGTGCTCCTCAGCATGCTTCCTGTAGAGATGTCGATGGGAAGGAAAGGACAAGATGCTTTGGAGCTGCTCATGCTGAAGCTGCTGTACCACAGTCAGCTTGGCATCTAGTGCAAACACATTGTAGGAGCCAGTCATGTACAATGATGTAATGTGCAATGCAGTTTCCAAAAGTTTCTGTCACAGCCCGATGGGATAAAAGCAGGCTGCAGTCATTCGGGCAGTATTCAAAGTACACCTGGTTGATGCTCCTGCTGTAGCATCTTCCAGCTTGCAGTTCACTGACATCTTTATGCCCGCATGGTGATATCATCGATGCTGGTTGGCAGGTATGAAATGGCACTGGGTCTGGAGTCGCAATGTGCTGAGGCTTGGAACAATCTTGGGGTGGTGTATAAAGACAAGGGCAACATGGTGTGTCTCTTTTGGTTTGGCTTCTGAAACCAGTCAGAGCACATTTGTTACGACATGACAGAATGCTACCTTCTCACTTCAGGATGAAGATGGACACGTTCATGTCCACAGTGCTGGTATCCATCTGCAATGTTGGGAAGTTGCTGTTCATGGCGGTCAGTGTATGGGGTGCATTTGTGCCATGCCTCCATGTCTCAAGTGGTTGCTCTATCGCTTGATTGTGAGTTCGAATTCCGCCAATGCCAGTCACAATAATCCCCTGGAAATTGTTTGCAGCAACCTCACAATGCATCTCAAAGGAACGCCCATGGTGGTTGCTCGCTGTGCGGGGTCTTAACGTGGAGCTCTGTTTGAAACCCCAAGCCTCATCGGAGGAAACCTGCTTATGCCACCGCTGAGTTGAGGCAGCACGGTTGTGCCAACACTCTGCTCAGACATACCTCTATGCCTTACCGTACACTTCAAAAGTACACTTAACATCAACGTACATCCTGGACCCAAGACCAAAACTTCAACAGCTACCAGTGGAAAATGGGGCATTATATCTAGTGGGCTCTGCCTTGTAGGAGAGGAGGTGCAGGAGATTTTGGCTTTGGCAAGATCTGATGTGGTATAAAGCAACCTGTATTCAAGGCATGCATTGCATGTTTGAGTATTTGTTATGTCAAACAGAGAAACACAGTGCATACGAATGGCTATCACATCAACTTTTGCCTCTTACCTTGGAATGTGCTGGATGTCATGACAGGGGCATGTTCATGGCAAATGCCATGGTTGGCTCCCATGAAGTTGTATTTCTGATGCCTGACGAGGGTCCAGACCACATCACATGGAATGAATTCCCATGTTGTGAATCCACAAGGCCAGCCTTGCACACGTGATGTTATTGCACGCTGATGGATTTGATGGTTGCGCCTGTTGGTTGTCTGCTCCAGGAGAAGGCAATACACTGCTACACCACTGCATTGCAGATCAGGCCAAATTTTCCACAGGTGAGTCCTGCCCCATTCCTGAAGACGTTATGCAGTCATCGATTAGCACAGTGAAGGTAATTGTTGATAACAAATAGTTGATTGGACTGAAGTAGATGACTGTTGCAGGCAGTCCTTGATGCCCCCATACACTTGTGCATCATCTGTACCGTGTGCGAGAACTCCCAAATGTCTTAAGCAGGGAAGGGGATTCCCAATTGTTCCCTTTGTTGTCAAACAGTCAAGAACGCCATTAAACGCCATTAAAATCTTCTGTCCACTCAAAGGTCATAAGGACCACAGAATTCCATTTTTGGCACTTCATCTCACCTGATGGCACAGTTCTGCTAGTAATGATGGAATGGACTTGAATTCCTAACATGCCAATTGGAGGAAGCTGAAATGCCATGCCTGCATTAAATGGATAGCTACTTTGGTGCTGACTGGTGGTTTGTGTGTGCGTTGATCAGAGTTTGAACAATTTGGGAGTGATCTTCACTTCACAGGGGCGTGCGCAGGAGGCCATGGCCCTGCTACAGGCCTCTGTGCAGGCCTGCCCCACCTATGCAGAGGCCTACAATAACATCGGCGTTGTGCAGAGGGATGTGGCCCTTGTGGAGGAGGTATGAATTTCTGGCCATTCAGTCCAGCGGCCCTTGCTGTTTGCTATCTCAAGCAAGAAAGTTGGGTGATGGCTCAAGAATGAAGCGCACATGCAAACTGTGAATTGATAGCCATCAGTTTGATTGGCATCATGTGTTGCTTGTGCCTTTGTCACAGTGGACCTGCATACAAGGGCCTGTTGCTGATGCACAGACAATATCTAGCCTGCCTTGATTTGATCGGCTGTGCTGTCATGCTGAAAAATCCTTCCTCAGTGTGCACTGTCCAACCTGGCTCTGGCGACTGGCTCACACCCCATTCGTTGCCTGATAGGGGATCGTTGGCTCTGTGGCAGGCTATCGGGTCATATGAAAAATGCCTGCAGCTGTGTCCTGGGTCCCGCAACGCTGGGCAGAACAGGCTGCTGGCACTGAACTACATATTTCCTGGCGAGGATGGCCGAGTATGCAAGGCTCATTCGGAATGGGGCGAAGAGTTTGAGAGGACAATGCAGCCACTGCCTCCTGTTTCGCGCAGTGACTGGGACACCAACCCCAACAGGGTCCTCAGGGTGAGCCAAAACAACAAATGCAAGTGGTTCGCAGTTCAATGCAGAGAATTTGTTTCATTCAGTTCTGTTTTGAGGATCACTTCACAGCCAGGCATCACCACCAAGCTTGACATTTCATTCCAAACCCAGACTGGAATATTGGCCCACTACTGGAAGTCCTGACTCTCATTTAGGTTGTACCTTGCACCAGATGTTGGTGTGATGTATAATGAATAAAGCTGCCAAATTGCTATGGCAACGAAGTGCTTGCACCTGGAAGGCAGTGATGGGCGAAATGTCCAGTGTCTTGTTGATTTTCCCTAGATCGTAGTCCACCACATCACCCGATTGGAGAGAAACAAGATTTTGACAGAAAACACAAGCAAGTGCCTGGCACAAAACCCCACAGTCAACCTTGCGGGTCGTTTGTAAGGACAAGCTGTACATGGTGCATGCAGTGCTGTGCATCGAATGCAACAACAGCCCCATGTACGCCATCAGTAATTGCTGAGGAGAAAACGAAACAACTCAGCAAGATGATGCAGCAGTCTCCGAGAGCAACATGAAAGACACACACACACAAACACACACAGCACTCCCTGCAACCTGGAATCAGATTTGTCTAGAGCATTGTATGTCGTTGGAGAAGGCAGGCCCCTGCACTACTGAGGTTTATTTGGTGGTCATTGCTATGGTGCTCGTGCAGCAGGTGGACTCTGAAACAATATGCCCAGTTGTGCCCAGCACTTGGCAGCTTCGTGGCCTGTCACACTGGTTGCAAGGGCTACAGTTACTCATGCACTGGCAGTGTGCTAATTCTGGCTTCCATTATCAATTTGAGTCATTTTCTGTGTTGTAGCCTTCATGTTTTCTTTTGCTTGCTGTTTCCCTGTGTGTGCTGAGCCATGTTCTGTCCATGTTGGCAAATGCATTCAAAGAACTGAAACCACGTGCAGGATTCGATCATTTGGACTGTATGTGTAGTTTATTGTACTTACTTAAATATGCAGCATTCACGTGTTATCAGCACTCTGATTGTCTCCTGGGCACGTGCAAGGTGGTTGAGTGCCCAAGGCCTGAGTCGGCTTTTGTGGGTTGATAGGTTGGATACATCTCCCCAGACCTCTACACGCACTCTGTTGCCTTCTTCGCTGATGCGCCACTGTCGCACCACAACCAGGAGGCTGTGAAGCATGTCGTATACAGCTGTGTCCCACAGGTGTGCACAGACACCTTTGTTGGTACTGTGCTCACATCTATGGCCTCAAATTCCTCACTCACTTCAATCATCAAAATAGACGCTCCAGTCGAGCTGTGAAACTGATGCACATTGTCATCATGCAGAGCAACAGGACTATTTCAGGCAGAGTGCAATGTCTCTTGGTGGGCACTGACCAGTCACCTACAAGGCAGAAAGTGTCCTTTTGTATCCTTTTGTATCAATTGTTTCTTGTCTATATCTTGTATGGAGTGGACTTGCATGTGCACCAGACTGCAGCCTTTTAAGGCCTTTCTTGATTCCAAAATGTGCTGTGCCACTCTGTGATTGGCTTCAACATCGTGCAAGAGTGCTAAGCAATATCTGGCTTTTCACTGCAAAATGAGAATTGTATTGATGCCTGAAGTCCTTCAGGAACCCTGACTCTGAATCCGCGAGCTGACAGGGAGTGTCTTGATGCCTGGACTTCATGCTGACAGGCTCGATTCTAATAACACTGTGAGGTTAATCTTTGAAGCTTGTTTATCTACAAATTGATAGCAGAATGGGACAGCGAATGTGCCACGATATTTGAATAGAATTGGCACTGTGGGTACACCGTTTGCAAGCATGTTTGCTGTACTCTGTTTCACATTGCTGCAGGACATGCAGCTGTCTGCATGTCCAGTAGGAAGTTGAGTAGAAGTCGAGTAACACAAATGGCAAGAAACTTCGGTATCCAGATTGCAGCAGCTAAAGCAGCTGTGGTGCAGACTCAAACTCCTTGGACATGCATGAATACCTGCCAGGGCTTCTGTACTTGGAGACAGGGAAGTAGCCCCTGCCAGAAGATCGATCTTCTCATCCAATTCTCCAGTCCCTGGACCCCACATCTCTGTGGGGTCACATCACATATCTGTGTCATCCACATCATCGCCCTTGTAGGGCATTACGGCATTGCTTTGACGCTGCTTGGCACTTTCAATCGAAGGATTGACTACCTCGTGCTCCCGCTGCCTTGTCCAGGCAGATGCGAACACTGCAAGGCTGCGCCAAGCTGTGCAGAAGGCCGGCGGGGAGTGGAAGGACGTTGTGCACCTGTCCGAAAGGCAGCTGGCAGGGCTTGTCCGGCAAGACAAGATCGACGTCCTGGTGGAGCTGAGTGGCCACACTGCCAACAACCGGCTAGGGACCATGGCACTGAGGCCGGCACCCATACAGGTTCACCAAGTTGGCTTTGCACAGCCTCATGTGGGGAAGAATCCCACGCTCTTGTTGATTTTGCATGTTTTCAAAGCAAATGTGGCAAACTTGTCATGGATTGCAGGGTGGGCGGATTTTTTCTTGCGCTTCCCTCTACAGGAGTTGTAGTGTCCTGTTCGTTCATCAGCAGGGTAATGCAACCCAGGGCAATTCATCACGGTGTGCGCGTTCGACATTTTGACCTTAGTTGCTCCTCTGAGTCTGATATACACAACTGGCTTCTGCTTTTATTGCTTGTATGAGGTCTCATATGCATATGAAGTCTCATATGCATGCATTTGGGGTACAATGCTGTGCAGTTAGGCGTGTCTCCCTTCATAACCTCAAGGGTAGCTGGGTGTGATTGATTTTGTGGGCAAGGAATTTACAGTGTTCATGGCCATGGAAAACACTGGCCTGTGGGAAGTCCTGGTCTTTCATCAGAGGGAAGGGTGGGCTTCAAAGGTGTGTGCTACTTTGGAATTCCACTGGCACGACACAGCCCCATAGTGCTCCATAGTGGTGTCCATACTCTGTGTATCGACAAAGCCGATCTCTCAGCCATCATCAATGTGATCCCTTGAATGCAGTAGTCTGGAATCCAAAAGAAAGGAAAAACAGCAAACAGCAGCTGCTGCCATGGCATTTCAGGTGACTTGGATTGGGTACCCGAACTCCACGGGACTGCGTTCAGTGGATTACCGCTTCACAGATGTCAACTGCGACCCAGTCAGCACCCGACAGACGTTCACTGAGGAGCTGGTGCGACTGCCGGGCTGCTTCCTTTGCTACACACCACTGGTGAACCCACCACCCGTTGCTGCAGCGCCCTGTGTCCGCAACGGTTTCATCACCTTTGGGTCGTTCAATGGACTGGCCAAAATAACACCAGAAGTGATAAAGGTGAGCTGAAGGGGGCCATTTTTCTCCAGTGCTTGCCACAATCTGTGCCCTTCTTGGTACTGACTGTCGTATTTGGTTATACTGGGGTCCCAACAGAGATGATCTGACAGAATACTGAGAGGGTAGGAGCTTGGTTTGGCAGCCTGCAGCAATGGTTCCCTTCAATGGAGTTTTCCTCTTAGGAGCAAGAATTGTGGCTCAGTCATTTGCATACATTGCATGATGATCCAGAAACCGTTAGGTGAAACAGGCATAACACTCAACACAAAAGTTATGAATGTGCCTGCCAGCGCGTTTGTGTGCAGCCACAGTGTCAGATCGCTGTGCTGTTGGTGCATGGAATGTGAATTTTTCTGGACAAACCTTCGCAATATCTGCATTATGAGCACAGCATTTGTACATTTGTATCAAAATGCTCTGACTGTTGCCAGTACACCAAGCAACAGACTCCCATCCTCTGTTCATCTACAAGCTTACTTTGCTCGTTTTTGCGCAAACAGTCCATCGTTCAGTGTCAGCAACCATTTGCAAGACATGGTTGTGGTAGTGGCAGGTCATGCCCAACAAAGAGATGGGTTCAGACAGAGCACAACAGCCAGAGCCTTGCTCTCTGAATGTGGCTGTGGGGCTCTCAACTGTTTTGTCAAAAGAATTAGGAGCACTATTGTGTTTTGGGCGAATGCAGCTGAAATGGACCCCTTTTGATTATTTTCTGGTGACCACGATCTTTGGTGAACATTGTTGTTTTCCATTGAGTGTGACTCTGTGGTTTTGTTCCCAGCTGTGGTGCCGAATTCTGCTCAGTGTCCCCTCCGCACGCTTCGTCCTGAAACAGAAGCCCCTTGTGTGCGAGACCACCAAGGCGCATCTCTTGCAGCTCTTCGCAGCAGAGGGCATAGAGTCCTGGCGTGTGGACCTCCTTCCGGCCATCCCCCAGACATACGACCACCTGGCCATGTATTCACTCATGGACGTCAGCCTGGACCCCTTTCCATATGCTGGTGAGCATTCAAGGGTTTGTTTGGTGAGCTGAGTGGAAACAGGTCCAAAGGAGCTGGAGTCGCTGAGAATGGTATAGCCAAACGGACATGTGGTCATGGGGAGGATACAACCAGCTTCGGTGACAGCTGGGCCCCAGCAAGGGTTTACTGGCACAGTGGCATTGCCATGGATGTAACGTGAACACACACATAACTGTGAATAATCGAGACTGGAGTTGTTGCAGTCTCTAAAGTCAAACGCAAGCAATGCTTTGAAGGAATGAGACAATGTTGGGCAGTGTGGCGGCCAGCTAAGGAACCCTAGCGGGCTGTTTGGGACAAGTGCTTTTTTCCATGGCATCCAGAGCAGTACCAGGTCAACAGAAATGCGAGACAGGTTTTCCCCAGTCGAAACGATGTACAGAACTGACATTTCCCACTTCCCATGTGGGGAATCTTCAAGTCAAGGCACTTGTTGTACAATTGGCTCATCCATCTATGACATAGTGTTGTGTAGTATGTGGCGCTTCCAGACCGTTTTGATCATTTCAATGGCCACGATTCAAACTTATGGCAGGGTATGGGGCACATAGGAGTGTAGTGCGCAAGGTTTGGTGAGAAAGTCAATGACTGTGGGAAGGATGTGAGACCTTTGCTGTGTTTGCATGTGCCCTGCCTCTGCAGCATAGCCGCAGTTCGTTCTTTTGATCCCAACCTCCGCATCATCCCGATGTTCCCACCTGGTGTCTGCCAGCTGTACTCGACTTGTTTTGTATTGCCATTCCCAAACCCACCCCACGTTTCGTTCATCTCCGTGAACCACCGCAAGCGAGCTTGCTGGGCTGCACTTCTCAAAATTCCGACAACTTCTTTCCCAGATTACTTCGAAAAGGCAAAGAAAGGCACAATCACCGGAGCAAACGTTCCCTGCTGCCTCCACCTCACCTGTGTCTCAAATTTCTGTTTCTGAGTCCTTTGCCCCTCTTCACCCCCTCATTTCTCCCACGTCACAAACTGCCACTCTGTTGCAGTATGTTCAGTCCTTTATCAGTCGTCGTTCTTTGCCCCAGGCACAACCACTACTTGTGAGTCCCTGTTCATGGGCGTCCCCTGCCTGACGTTGAAGGGCCACTGCCACGCCCACAACGTGGGCGTAAGCCTGGTGCGCGCTGTGGGGCTGGAGGAGCACTGGCTTGCGAGCACGCAGGAGGAGTACTTGCAGCTGGCGGTGGAGGCCTCACAAGATTTCGAGGTCGGTGCGGCGTGTTGGCAAAGCGCAATTGCAGCGACTGGCATTCTGTGGTGAATGCGTCTTCCATGGTTTGCCGTCACCTCATCGACTGTACGAGGTCGTTACATCAGTTCGCCATCCTGCATCTCCAATTTGACTCATGCGGTTGTACAAATGGAAGAGACTTGACAGCGTGGTCGACGACACTTGTCCTCATCATTGCCGGCTTTGGTGCTTTGCTTCACCGTGTGCGCCATATTCATATTCAAATTCGTATTCAAGTTCATGTTCTGCTGATTGAAGAATTGCTTGTTCGATGCCCAGCTTCCGGCTCCCCACGTTTGCCGATCTTGGTAGTCGCTCTCACGGCCGCGCCGGTGCTGCTGGTTGCGCTTTTCTGAATGCCTTTGGCCTTCAGCCGTCGACCATGTGGCTTAAAAGGCCAACGATTGAAACGACGTCTTTCGCCGGCCAACGCTTTCGCCGCCTCCGCTCTGCACGCTTCCCGGGGTTCAGCATGGTTTGGTATGCTTAGCGAAAGTATGTGTTGCCGGTTTCTCGCATTTTTGCACTAGGGATTGAGTCCCTTGATGCTGAAATCCTGCAACTGTGGATATTAGCACTGCGAGTTTTGGGCCCCTTTTTCACCCCGAAACACTGCGGACACGGCAACCGTCATGCTGTGTCGGCCACGTGCCCCGCAGAAACATAGGGTTGGTTAGAAAATTTGGCTAGAATTGTACAAGAATGCGCGCTTTGTGCTCACGAGAGGCCGGCACCGCCCTCAGGCATGTCAGATGGAAGAGCAGTCTTGAATTCTGCAAGCTCTGAAGCAGCCCGCGTTTGAAGGGTTCTGTGTCGCCCCAGAGGCTGGAAGAGCTGAGGTCTGGGCTGCGGGATCGCATGCTGAAATCTCCCCTGTGCGATGCGCCCGCCTTCATGCCCAAGCTGGAGTCCACCTACCGCTCCTTGTGGACGAGGTGCGCCCAAGCCTTACCAGTTTGCAGCTCGCCAGCCAATGCACGAGTCTGACTGCGTGATTCGGTCCCCCGGGATTGCAGCAGCCTTGCGGGCGAGTTGCGTATGGATGTATTGATTGCGGGACTCGGCTGTTGGAGCTGAGGACTCAGTGGCAGTACTAGTGCCAGTAGCACTTGGATGTGCAGAAAGCTCAGTGGTGCCGGCAGTGCTCAGCGGTACTTTGTATTGTGTACTTGCTGTTTGGCGCTTTGGCCTTTGCCAACTTGCCCGAGTGGTGTTTCTGCGGGGCTTGGTGGTAGCACACCATATCCAGTTTGATGACTATCAGGTTGACCGGACGTTCTCGCGCGCTCGCGCACGGTCGCTCCCAGGCACGGGAAGCGAGGCTGCAACCAGATGCGTTACAGGATGAGTTTATCAGCTAAATAACAGTCACCGCAACAGTGTTCACTTCCCTATCTCCATTATCCCCATGTATACATTCACCATAACCCCATGTTGACCATATTCACTTCTAACCATAAAAATTACGCCATATATCACATATCATACATTAACCGTTCCCTTGCCCTCACAATAACCCATGTTCACTTTTGGTTGGTTGATAAACAGGCACTGCCGACTGATTAGCAAGCAAAGCCCCTTGACAATGCCGCTGCTATTGGCACACATTGATCATGATGTTCATGCTGCCGCTTCCACATTCTCAGTTCCAATATTGTCCGTTCATGTCGCATCTGCGCTGATACAATGCTGCTCGCCGTTGAACCGATTCAGCTTGGATGGCTGCGCTGCTTCTCTCGAGGCAACCAGCTGAGTGTGTGTGTCCCTCTCCCATGGTGGCTATTCATGCTGTGCCTTCCACATTCTCGTTTCCAAGTATTGTCCACTCATGTCGCAGTTTCCGCTGATAGAACGCTGCGCACCGTTGGGCCGATTCAGCTCGGATAGCGGTGCCGCTTCTCTCGAGGCAGCCTGCTGAATGTGTGCATTCCTGTCCCAAGGTGGCTGAAACAGAGCGGAGAGGGGGGTGACTGTGTGTCTCTAGAACCTTCCCAAATGCCACACAAAAGAAAGAACTCCAACGAGCTGGAGCTGCAGAGGAAAGCGTCGCGGGAGGGCACCCAAGTGGAAACGTCCCCAGAGCAGGGATGCTGACGTCATCCCACTGGCTGCCGGGATCCTGGCAATGGCGGGTCGACTCCCCGGGACTCCCTGGGGAGCGCAAGTCGGTTGTTGCGGGCCTGGCGAAAATTCATTCCGCTATTTGGGAATTTGTTTATGATTGGTTGGGGATTTGTGGGCGCGGTGGGGCACAGTCCATGCATGGAAGCGGATATATGATATCGCGTGTATGCTGTCACTTCCACAATACCGTATGTACGATACGACGCGCAGGCCACGCCGTACCATGCGTATCGGAAAATGCTGTGCTGTGGAGGTGCGCGGGCTGCTAAGGCAATTTAAAGCGCTCTTCGATGCCAATTCGGCGACGCAGTACTTTGCGACAGCACGTGATGTCAAAATTTCGTGGAAGGCGAAATGTATGGGTGGCAGGTTGATTGTTGGATGATGGCTAGTCACGCATGGATGCGCTTGTGCCCACCATCGCCTTGGAA